AAGAAGCTGGATGAGCTCAGTGCTGAGGCGGTCGACTTCCTGCATGATATCGTCCGTGCCGTTCCTTAAGGCCTCGCGCAGCCCGGGAAGACGCGCATCGATGTTCGTAACCTCGCCGTACCAAGAGTTAACTTCATCTTGAATAATATGGCGGGAAGGAAGCATGTCTTGCAGTCTTGCGACACCCTCATCAAGGAGCCTCAGGAAAGGCATGGGGCACGGCTGGTTGATGTGTCCAACGCCATCGCAATGACGGCAGCGGCAGTTGCCACCGTGCAAAACCTGACCGCAACGCTTGCAAAGCATGAAGAGATTCTCGCTGCGTAGGACGGAATGTCAGCTCCTGAATGTCGAGACTCGAGCCATATGAGAACACTTACGCAGCATCACGGGCGTGGCCGTTGTTGTTGTTGCCGTTGCCATTGGGCCTGCGGGGAGGGTCGCTGCCTCCGCCACTCTGGTACTGGCTGGCATAGTGGAGCATCGGGTAGACGGGGCGCGAGCTTGAAGCGGACGCCATGGTGTAGCTAGCGTGCGCTGTTAGTAACTGTATTGTCGGCCTGGTTCTTGGGACAATAAGGTATACTCACGACCTTGCTGACCGGACGATGAAGAGGGTGGAACGCTCCTCGGAGGTTTTGCGGCAGGATATGGCCGTAGGTGCATGCTAGTGGCTGTCACGTGTGGGGTCTTGTCATCGGGGCAACGTCCGGTCTTTCGTCGCCCCGTGTCCGGGAGCTGTCCACGGTGCTGGACGGCCATACAGAGCATTGGCCACACTGCACGCTTTCATACCGGCTTTTCGGAATTTTGTCATCATTGTAAACTACTGCAGATGTCTATCTAGCCTTGAAACCGGACCTTGGCCACCGATGGACGCCCTTGGGGGACTTGCATCAGAGATTTAGCCAAATAGAGAGAAAACACCATTTATGAAAACCACTCGCTGGCAAACTTCTCGGCCAAAACTGCCCTTTTTAGCATCGCCTTAACTGGTCTTCTTCGAAGTGCGCAGACGCTTAGCCTTAGCCTCGATCAACAACTGTTCCATACTCTGTTGTCCTTCTTCGAAATCTTCAGACTCTTCATGAGCGCCACGAAACAGGCTGGCGTAGTATCGAGAAAAGGACGACTGCTGTGACTGCTTCGAAAGCGTCTTAGAGGGGCTGCGAAGCTGGGGAGAGGTAGGCGCAGAACCCATCATCTGACCCTGGACATTGTTGTTGGTAGCCTCATCGGCAGCGGGGCGCGGAAAGGCGGCCCTACGAGCAAGGGAAAGGAACGTGGAGGCGTCCGCAAGGAGCTGACGGACTCGGTCAACGTCCATGCTGGAGGGGTTGCCAGTACCTCGCGTGCTCTGGGACCTGTGGGAAACTTCGTTGTGATGGGGCGCGATGTTGCCGAGAGCAGCATCGACGCGACTCTTCAAGTTCCCGACATCGTTGCACACCTGATCGAACTCGCCCATAAGGTGGCTGATGTCCATGTTTGACTGGTCGTGAGGGCTAAGAACGGTCCGAGGTTGCTTGATCGTCTTGAGGAGCGACTGCGGTAGCGGTTCGGTCGAGACGTTCGAGTGGGACCGCTTCTTGCATGGCCCGGGAACGATATGTGTATTGTTACAGCTGGTGCAGAGCTTCAACTTGCGGTCGCTGGAGCAGATAGAAAGAGTCAGCCTTAATAACAGGAAGGGCCAGGAGCTCTAGGTTCAACGAACACGAAGTATCGGGCATCGTCCTCACGAGGAGGCTCTCTACCCTGGTCATCTTGGTCATCGTCAGACCTGCTGCCCGGCGGGTTGGTCGTGCTCATGCTCCTAATGGTCGTCGTCGCGAGTCTAGCGTGCGCTGTCAGCGATTATGCGGCGGACTTTTCGAAATGCTAGAGGGTATTCTTACGTTGTCGCCAACAGGTGTGCAGGGGTATGGTGGTGTACCTGGTGGGATGCGGCACTGGAGGAGCTTTTGATGAGGGGGAGCGCGCCAGTCATGGGCGGGTCACGTGTATTGTTCATCGCAGCGGCGCGGCCGCCAGCAAACCCGCTTGCCGCCGCACGGTCGCATTCCGCTGCATCGCATCTCAGTCCCTTTCCCGAAATTGCTAGGACGTACAAACCACCACCCATCCCGCGCTTTTCTCAGAATCCCCCAGACGACTCCATAATGGAGGAGTATGTCAAACAGGCCCTAGCTGCTTTTGTTTGCTCAGATCTTACGCGCCCAACAGACATAAAATTGAGGCAAACCAGAAGTGCATGCACTGCCTGATGCCATACCATGACGGCGGTCCGTTCTTCTGCAAGCGCAAGTGTGTCTTCTGCGGAAAAATGGGCCACAATGGCGTCATCTGCGACATGATCCTCCCACACTTCCGCGCCTACACCGAAGAGAACGAAAAGGAGAAGAATGCGCTTCGGACTGAGGTGGAAAAGAAGGACAAGGAGATCGCGCAACTTCGCTCCCTGCTACAAGAGAAGGAACAAATGCTGGCGGAGGCGGGCAACAAGCTACAGCAGCAGCAGCAACTGCAGGACCAGCAACAGTACCACCAGCAGGACCACCAGCAGCAAGAGTATTACCAAGATGACACTGAGGACTGGCGTCTCAAGGGATTCGACACCAGCAACGACTCGCTGTACAGTCTGCATGGCTGGCAGCCTCTTGAGCAGGTTCTTCAACCGGACGACAGCACGAAGGTCGTTTTTGAAGATTTTGTAAACGACGAATAGGCACTTGCTGAGCTACTGGGAGAAGAGAGGTTGCTTCCAGATGGCACTACAAAGGTACAATAGAGCAAACACATCAGGTCAAGAGCTTGGACAATCGGACAACCGTATGCTGACTCGATGGCTGCGTAGTTTGCTTACAAACGAAGACATTTACGAATTTCAAGAGACAAAGAGGTGGATTGTTCTCACAAATCTTCGCGCGATTGAGACCAATAACACGAAGTCTGACAGTGATACTGCTAGTCTATGCTTCAGTGATGTGTCCTACACGTTCGAGTAGAGACGACTACATCTGGCGAAAACGCGAATCTTGCCATACACCTCCGAAGTTTGTCGTTTCGGAAAAGGAGCTTCTCGATGTTCGACAGTGAAATAAAAGCGTAGTATAAGGAGCTGAGGATCATTTCATGAGCACTGCGGTGGCAAGGTCCGGATGGAAAGACAGTCGAAGACCCATTGGTGGAAGTATTGATCGATCCGTCAAAAAGCTCCCACGCCAGACCAGGAGACCGTCATACTTAATCATTACAACTTCTTCGTCCGTAGACGAAAGCTCGACTCATCCACCCGACTCTTAAATTTACGCTGTTCCAGTCCGCCAAGCAGTGTTCAGGGACCTGAAATTGACAAATTGAACAGTGACTTCTGTACGCACGATCAAATTCTGAGTATATGACCGTGAGAACTCTCCTCTATCATGCTTCGGTGTGCATGGAAAAGAATAAACCATAGTCAGGAGAATCTTGAGGGCAGCTCGTTCCGAAGTGAACCCTTTCGCAGCGCCTCCTCTTTCTCTACCAAACACTGAATCTTCTGATCCTCGCCGCGTTCAAAAAGAACCCCTTCAACGTGAGAGTATTCGCTCAAACCATCATAAGACATGGAGCGTGGACAACATAAGCATCTGAAGCTAGTCGTCGTTAGCGCCGAACTGTCAGCCATTGACGCTGTATGACGTCGCCAAGAATCGACGACGCAAGGAGGGCCACGCGCCAACCAAACGCACCGAACACGCACAGCGATCGACGACAGAAAACGCCCACTTCCCTTTTCCGACACGCAGTGGAAAGGAACAACATTACTCCCCTGTCTCCAACGACAAGCGATGCAGCGATTGCTCGCAGCAACAGAGCCCATCACGCGGCGAAGGTGAGATCGAAGAAAAATCCCTTGCTGTTGTATTTTCTCTGAATCTTCTCTTTTCTTAATGCAGGGCATTCACCGCAGGCGTCGTTCTCGGCACGGCATTTGGTGTTGGTGGGACTGCGTTGCTGGGCAAGACTGTGATTGGGGCGGCGCCGTTGGTGTGGGGGGTTTGGAGGGTGCGACGATACGTGCGGGAAAAACGAAGGACTGGAAAGATCGATGTTGGCGGGGAAGACGCGAGAGCGGGGAGAGCCGGCGTCTTTGAGGGAGTTTGGAGGGATGCAGGGCGGGGGAAGAAAGAGGGTGGCCGGAGATGATGAGGACTGACGAATAGAGGCAACAAGGATGGGCAACAAGAGTCCAAAGACTGGCGCAAACGGAAATCGAAAAGTTTTCGAATTTACCAGCGAACGGCCCTCTCGCAGCTATGAATGGTATCTACTGCCTCGGTGGAATGCTCGTCCACTCTCCCTCCTTGACATCTTGGAAATCCATGACTTTATTCGTGCCGCCCCAACGGCCCTGTCTGTCCTTCCAGTCCCTTCCCACGGCTGTTTCTGGCCGCCAGCGCCAACATCTCTTCATCCTCTCGTCTAGCTTATCCTCTAATGCGTCGGCGATGTAGCTGCCGATGATAGGGATTTGCATGAAGCCGTGACCGCTGCCTCCAACACCGAGGATCAAGCTCTTGTGGTCTGGATGAGGGGTGATGATGAAAGAGCGATTGGGAGTGTCGGCACACCAGCAAATCCGGGCGAAGCTAAAAGGCCGCTGTGCCAGGTGGGGCATGCATTCTTGCAGAAAGTCGCGGGCACGCTTCTCTGCCCCGAGCGGGATCTGGTGCTTCGCGAAAGGGAGCGAGACCATGCGACCAGTCTTAGGGTCTTTTGTCCAGTTAAGGTAACCCGGATGCTCATCACACATCTTCAGCTCGTGGTTGTCTTCGTCAGGCTCCATGAAGAAGCCGCTACGTGCATGTTAGCAGCTGATATGATCCGTTGCGTCAGCGAGGGACATACCGCTCGATGTTGAACAGCACGGGTAGATTCTTGTATAGCTTTGCCTCCTCTTCTGTCATCTTGATGTGCGCCAGAGTCCACGCCGTCGGCCGTAGCTGATCCTTCATATCCAGCAGCTGCGGGGCGGTTGCACCAGCACACAGAATCGTCCTGTCGGCGAGCCACTCCTTGCCGTCAGCAGTGCGCGCACCCTTGACGTCTCCATCCTCGACGATAAGCTCCGTAACCTTCCCCTGAGGGTCACCCGTCACATACGCGGCACCGAGCCTTTGGGCCTCTGTTGCAGCCGCGACCAGCGCTTTGCGCGCATGCACCCAGCCCGCGCCCGTCGACTTGTATACGCCCCGCCAGCCAGGAAAATCGCCGGTCAGAACTCCCTCGGGCATCGTCTTGCGGAACTCTTCTGGGGTCTTGAGGTCGACGAAGCCTTTCTCGGGCGTTGGTTGCTCGCGGCGGTACATGTCGTCGATCGTGTCCGGATCGCTGGCAGCGATAATGTAGCCGGTATCATGGTAGTAGGGCTGGAAGATGGGGTCGGACTTCCATGCCTCACCCGTGCGCATGAGCAGTGTGTTGGTGGTGTAGGCCTCATCGTCGTCGGTGCCGGAAAAGAAGCCTGTACGCCGGGGAGTTAGCGGGCGGAAATGAGAGATGGCAAAGACTGGGTCGAACCTTGCTCTACGATCTTGTTCACATCGTTGCCGGCTGATATGGCGGAGGGGACAGGGTAAGGGTCGAGAACGGTGATTTTTTTGTAGCCGCGGCGGGCGAGGTGCAGGGCGGTCGAGCTTCCCCAGGTACCGGCGCCGACGATCAGGATGGCCGAAGTCGCGGGATCGAGGCTGGAGGCCATTGCGGGAGCGCTGAGGCGGATTGAGGCGGCGACATTGCGGCTGAGGCCTTATAGCGTGCAGTGCGGCGGTGGATAGATGGGGTGTTGATAGCACCGAGGCGGCGGGCTGGGGTCGGCAGTGCGGGGCTCGGTCGGCGCGTGGACCTGCCGCTTTTTCTCGGCGTCGGCCCACCCCCATCGCTCCCATCGCGACACGGCGCCACTGAACCTCTACTCATTGGATCAGCCTAAGAGTGGGATAGTCGCTCCGCCCAACCACAGGACCCGCCCAGAAATGCCCAACCATGCCCCGTCGCAAGGCCTCTGAGCGCAGCCTGCCGCACAAGTCGCGCTCCCGCAACGGCTGCCTCACGTGTCGCAAGCGGAAGATCAGTGCGTGCAACCTCGCTGCCATTACTCAATCCAGCCCACTGACTCCCGTCCAGGGTGCGACGAAGGCAAGCCCGTCTGCTCCAACTGCCGCGACAAGGCCCTGCAGTGCCTCCGAGGCGTCACCCTGAAATGGGAGCAGGAGTACGCGTCTCGCGGCCTAGCCTTTGGCCGCAGTGGAGTAGGCGCCCTAATCTCATTTCCAAACGAGGCAAGAGTTAATACCCTCAGGTCTGGAGCAAGAACGGCTCCGCCCACGATGATTCCCCTCGTCTTGATTCCGCCGTCGTGCACTGGCTCCCTCTGCCGCACATCCAGTCCTACCACTTTGTCAACAGCACCATCGAGGGCTTTGAGGAATCGCTAGCTGAGCAAGAAGAGCTCAGTTGGTTTTCCGCCAAGGATGATGCTTTCCTTGCAAGTCCCGGGCGGCCGGGCTCGTCTTCGTCCTCGCTCTCCGGGTATAGCCAGGGTGGAGCCATGGTCCCCTTTGGCATGCATTCGCCCATCATGCACGCCTCACCATCTGCAGTGCTACTCTCACCGAGCGAATTTCCACAGCTGGAGAATCCTACATACGCCCCGTTGCTGGAGTACTACATTCAGAGAGTGTGTCCGCTGACCACGCCAAGCGTACTCTCAAATACACCCTTCGCATCTCTCATTCTGCCATTTTCCGTTCACGCATCATCGACAGCCCTCAACTCGGTCCTCGCTCTTTCTGCAAGACATCTTTCAAAGTCCAATCGAGCATGGAAGTCAATCGCCATGCAACTCGAAGGAAAGGTACTTCACTCTCTTCGCCGCCGGTTGATGACTGAAGACCCGGAACGCGTAGCCTTAGACCCCGAAGTCCCCACCATCATGATGATGCTTTGTCTCTACGAGATTATCAACAAGTGCGACGAGCGATGGGTCATTCATCTTCACGGTGCCCGCGACTTAATCCGCACGCGGCGTCGCCTTCTCTGCAACACTACACCCAACAACAGCAGCAACAGCAACAACGACCTCCTCAACTTCTCCGAGCGTTTCTTCGCCTTCCAGGACGTCATTGGTCGCACTGCCTGCGGTGAAGTCCCCATCTTCGGCGAAGATTACTGGGACGCCAGCGACGTCACCGCTGATGCCTGGTTGGGCTGCTCGCCCGAACTCGTCTCCGTCATCTGCTCCATCACCGAGCTTTCTCGCCAGCGCCGCCACCGCTGTTCTCGCTCTCGCTCCCGGTCCCGCTCAACCAACAGAAAATACTCCTCGTCTCCTTCCTCTTCCCCCTCCTCCGTCGGAACCTTTGCAGAAAACGACCGCGACTCCTTCGCTCTCGAAGCCGCCGCCCTCGAATCCCGCCTCAATGACATCCATCAGCTCGTCCCAGATGCCGACAACGATGCTGCCCTGCACCGCTCCGCCGAAGCCAAGCGTCTCGCCGCCATTGTATACTTGTACTGCGCCCTGTACGGCGCCACGCCTGCAACGCCACTGGTCGTCACCCATGTGCGGCAGATCTTGCAGCTCGTGCACGAAACAGTCAGCAGCACGAGTGATTCCAATATGGCCGCAACCACGACCAATGCTGCCGGCTTGACTTGGCCTCTCTTCGTTGCAGCCGTCGAGCTCGATCCGCTGAACGACGAGTTGTGGGTGGACGAGCGGACGGGGCAGATGGTGTATGGGCGTCCGTTGGTATTACGGGCGTTCAATCAGTTGGCGAAGGGCAGTATAAGCAATGTGGTGCGCACTCGAGAAGTCGTGAGTAAGGTCTGGGAGATGCGGGAGAAGGAGATGGTGGTGGGGAGTCCGGCGCCGAGAGAGGAGGTCGAGGGAGATGAGGCGGAGAGGAACGATTGGGAGAGATGTGTTGCGCCGTTGAGCATCAATATGAGCTTGGTTGGTTGAGCTGAGGGAGAGAGAAACGAGGAGCTAAAAGGGGACGAACCATCGAAGAGAAGGGAACGGACAGAAGGAGCGCATCGGAAACATGATTCGCTCTTCTTCTTGCCCCAGAGTGTCCAAAACGAAGAGCAGGCTGGGATAACCTTGCAGGCGGTTTCCACCCCTGCCCCCCACGCGGGGCGGATCTACCCGCTCCTCTGGCCCCACAATTCGAAGCGATCCCGGCATATCCGCCCCGACCTTTGCAAATGGCTTCTTATTGGACACGGCTGGACTTTCCAGATCCTTATCACAACCAGAACTGGATCGGGTCAGTTTGGGGACGCATACATCGTGTTGGAATAAGCGGGAAAATGCTTATCTATCTATCGTCGTTATCTCATTCTACGATGAATATCTACGGGGGAGTCATGCCACTTTGCCGTCACATGGAGGTTCTTTTTTGCTTTAGAGATATGAGCACGAGAGTTACTATACTCCCGACCATCGCAGGATGGAACCGGGCTCTTATGTCTTTATTCTTAATTCTAGACTATATGCGAAAGGCTGAAGGGAGGCGTTCAGGATAATCTGGGATTTCGAGCTGAAGGAAGAGTTTAACGCTGGGCTATTCAACATGTAAGCTCATGCAATGTCTTGTAATTATGCCATTCACTCTTGAAGTGGAGAGCTCGGAACTGATGCTCTTTTTGTTATGGAATTGCTTTTCTTGTGGGACGATCCTGAAAATCCTTTTTTTTTGCCTCTTTATACTCGATAGAGGACAAGCCTTGAGAGTAGAACTCCATCTATTTGGCGCTTCCCAGGATGGAATGAATCAATAATGCAAGCGTCTTTCAACGAGAATGGTCTTGTAGAAACCGCGAGTACCTCTGGACGCCCACTTCATTTGGGCCACCCATTTTCGAAGAAACCATTATACAACAGCTCATAGCTCGTATTGGAGGATAATTTTACATAGATCGAATGACTCTTTGCATTACAGCATTGCAGTATTCATGTATGCGAAAACATAGTCATGTGCCCGGAAATCTAGTCAAAGCAGTGAGCATGTCTTATTTCTCTAGGAAATTCCAGGCAAAGATAATGTGGATCTTGTGTTTCGTACTGTGGCGTGTCTGAAGAGTGACGGGAGCATGCTCAATCTTTGACTGTATGTGGAACATCCTTTTTGGGAAAGAAAGTCTTGAACATCCTCCATCGGCTCAACGACGCTTTTTAATACTGTTGCAACCCTGTGAGCTCAACGGCAAGGAGAAACTGTTCCACCAGCCCTTGAGAAGCATCCGCTTCGTGAATATGGGACTGTTATTGTAATGTGGCACCTATTGTAGCCTTTTCATCGAAACAACCTGCTGCAATCCGTAATGGCCTGTTCAACTTCGATGAAGAATCACTTTTCCACCAGAAGCTCTTTAGCCTTGGCTTTTCTGGCCTGCTTGGGGGCACGCGCCTCTCGCTCTTCATCCTGTTCTTCGTTCTTGGCCTTGACATTCTTCTTGCATCTCGCCTGCTTCGGGGCTGGAAACTCTTCCTCTTCTTCCTTGTCCTTGTGAATTACTGGAGTTCACCAAACGGCATGACTCATGGCCAGGTTTGACACATGCTGCCACTTGAGGAGTACAAGTTCCTTTGGCGTGTTGCAGGAATAGAAGGGGGAATTTGCACCCCGAAATTTCATGCTTGAACGCAATATATTGGAGCTGCAAGTCCGCTGAGTAATCTGAGCAGCTCAGATAGATCATGAAAAGGGTATTGGAAGGGCGAAGTAGATAATAATGATGCACTGTTGGTCCCTGTCAGAACATACGTATATGCCTATTGCATAGCATGGATGAAGTAATTACCGTGGCTCGGGCATCAAATCAACACTTCAGTGTTATCAGGAGCTTTGTAGCCCGTGTTATGATTGGCAGGGTGACCAAGGCAAGAAAAGTGTTATGCGTACACCTGCCAGTGACTGAAATGGCCCGAGCTTCGCGCCATATATCTTTGTCCTGCGTGCGCCGGTTTCTCGACGTGTCATAGCTTTCAGGGTCCAGGCCTACATGGTGCTTCGTTTTCGCTGCTCGACTCTTCCACACTTCTTCAACTCCACTCCCGAACTCCACGTCGTCGCCTTCGCCTTACAACAGCAATCGCACTACCTCTGAAGGCATTACGATGGCTTCTAACAATAACGCGGGCCCCATGTGCCTGAAAATGGACGACTTAATGCACCGCATGCTCGAGATGCCGGCGGTCGACAACGGAGCATCGCTGAGCACCTCGCCGGCTGTTCTAAGTCTGCTGAGCTCCCGAAGGCACATCCACATCTATGGCGCACGCATCACGATCGACGAGCTTCTCCATCTCGGAAGCTTGATCCACTCATATTACCATCGACCCCCCAACGGCGTTTCTCGTGGTCCTGGTGCGGTAATTGTCGTTGATGACGTTGCCGATGCCTTTTCGAAGGTGACAGCACTCGCGGCCCATGTCACCAACGAGCGCCCGGCGAACACAAGCAACGCTATCTACTGCTTCTCACGCATCGCCATCGTCCGCGGCCCCAAGCCGCCCAACTTCTGCACCAATGCTGCGGCCTACAACAACTCTCTCGGCGCCGCCGCCTCTGCCCTTCGCAAAACTTTGGAGCACTTCGCACAGCTCTTCTCGACCAACCGTGCGATCTGGCACTCGCACCAGGATCCTTCTTTGCTTCTGCACATGATCAATACCAGCCCCAATGGCTCTCCGCCGATCGACGCTGTTTCAGTCTTCTCTGCCCTGCTGTTCACGGGCGCTTCCACATCTAACGGCACCAAGACGCCTGGTGCTATTACGTTGGCCGACCCGCGCTCTGGTTACGGACTCTCCAACGTCTGGTCTCTTCTCATCACGGCGACTACACGCGCACACAACGGCAGAGGCATTCCCATTGTCTTCTATAGTAATTGCTCTATGCGCGTCTACCTGCAAGCGTACAGCACTCAGCATCTGGCCGGCATTCCAGATCTCTTTCCCGTGATGCTTCCCGAGGCTGTTTGGAAGCCTGTCTTTGGTCAGGTTATGGACCAATTACTCGTAGCAGCATTTAGGCTGCTTGCCGGAGGAGATCTGACAGCCGCAAGCCCGAAGCGCGTCGGAAAAACGGTCGTAGATGAGGTCAAGAGGCGCCTCAATGCACAGGTGGCCAAGGGCTGGGCGAAGCTCTGCATAGACCCACGTTCGTACGGCGAGGCAGAGATCATGAGGACCGTACGGGGAGCGCTCCCAAATGGGTATGTATATTTGCCATTTCTGGCCCCTATTCCCTTTCTCCTCCAACCCCGATAACCCTTGCAAGAACCGTAACTAACACCTCAAACAGCGGCGCCCCCAACACCCCCCTCTTCACCCTCGAGGCCCTGAAGACGACCATCCGCAAGCCTACGCCCATGAGCCCTGCCACCGCGCTGTCCCGCCCGGCCATCGGCCCCCACAGCGCCTCATCCCCTTCGCTCTGGGCCATCCGCGCCAGCATCGCTCCGCGCTCTGCCCCCCTTCCCGCCAACACCCCCGCATCCAGCATGGCCCTCACCATCGCCCGCAGCGGCACCACGCACATCCTCTGCACGCCGCCCTCAGCCACGCGCACCAGCAGCAGCGCCACCAGCAACGGCCTCCTCCTGGCCACATCCAACACCACCATCCCCACCAGCGGCGACGACCACCGCCACCCGCGCGCCGTGCAGCAGGACGTCGGCACGCGCTGGGCGGGCTACGTCAGCGCCGTGCGCCACCGGACGACGTCCACCAACAGCAGCGGCTTCAAGGCCACGGGCAACGGATTCGGCGTCAGCGTGCAGACGGCGCGCGTGTGGATGGCCGTGGTGCCGGGCGTGTTTGCCGCGGCGGTGGAGCAGTGGGGCAGGGCGGTTGTGGGGAGGATGCCGGCGGGAGAGCAGGCGGCGGCGGCGAGGAGGTTGGAGGAGGAGGTCAAGGCGGTGCTGAAGGAGGCGAGGGAGGGCAAGGTGACGGAGATGTGCAGGGGTGTTTTGGGTGGTTGATTGCGGGGATGGTGGGGTGGGGGAAGATGGTGGTGCTTTTCGGCTGGCTTTCTTGCTGGTTACTTTTCTTGCTGGCCACTTCCTTTGCGTGGCTTTCTTACTTGCCGGCTTTCTTCCAGGATGGCCCTTTTACTGGCCGGTTTTCTTACTGATCGGCTCTCTTTGCTTAAAAGGATGGGATAATGGGGGAAACGGACGGACGGACGGGCAAACAGCTCTTTCCGGCTTTTACATGAGCGATGAACCTCAAAAGACTTTACGGAGGTGGTAGATCCAAACAGCGTAGGATAGCCTATGCAATATGCAATTCATTCATGAACAGTAGAGAAATGAAGACTCTACTATCACTGCGTCCTGAAGGCCAACTCAGTCCTCGTCCTCTCCCATGACCACATCCTCATCCTTTTCTCCACCAGCCTCCTCACCAGCAGCGCCACCTTCGCCCCTCTCCGCCGCCTTCCTCGCCCTCTCCTTTTCTCTCCTCTTCAACTTCTGCTTCCGATTCTTCTCCTGCCTCTTCAACTTTTCCGCCTCCTCCTTCTCCTTCGCCGCCCGCTCCGCCGCCTCTTTACGTTCCAACCCCTTCGCACGCTTCTTCCTCAGCGCCACCCGTGCCTTTTTGCTCTTCCGCCTCTTCACACCCTTCTTCTCCTCCCCATCATCCGCATCGCTACCAGCAGGCTCCCCGTGTCTCACACACGCCTTCCTCAGCTTCCCCGACGCCGGATCCAACACAGACACCTTCCACGGCACCGCGCATCCCGGCCACCGTATCGAAGCCGCGCGCTCAAGGATTTCTGCGCCGCTGACGGCCGTGGCGGCGTATGCTGCGCGCTGTTCCTTTGCCTCTGCCGAATCGGCGGCGGGCGCGAAGTAGTACGAGCGCGGGCGCGAGGGATTGACAAAGCCAGCAGGCCGATCGGGATCGAGCGAGGGCGAACGGAGACGGATTTTTTGCACAGCAGCGGGCTGGGATGTTGCGGCGGAGGAGGAGGACCGTTGTTGCGGAATGGGTGCAGTAGCTGCGGGCTTGGTGGGCGCGGCGAAGAGGCGGAATTCGAGCTCGTCGTCTTCGTCGCCGTCATCTTGCGCGTTGTCGTTGGTTTTGGGGTCGGGATTTGTTGCGGTGTCGGTGGCGACGGGTGAGGCGATGACGGGTGCGGCGCCGAGCTGTGCGTCGAGCCGTGCGCGGAGAAGGGCGGCTGCGGCTTCGGGGTCGGGTGAGGACGAGGCGGAGCGGGTGGATGAGGCGGGCGATGCGGAGCGCGAACGAGCGGAGAAGAGGTCGGAGCGCCGGACGCTGTGTATATGGGTCAATTGGGTCAGCGGCGGTCTGGTGTGAAGGCTGTGGTGGTGCGGGCGGTGGTGCGACGGGAATGCTGGATGAGTAATGCGGGCGACAGGGTCTTACCGCTTTGCATCTGGTAAAGCGAACATTGCGAGTTCGATCAAGGCGTGCGCACAATGTCGTGGTGTTGTGCGGGCGTGGGAAGGGTATACGAGAGCTGTGGTGTTGAGCTGTCGAGACTTTTTTTCTGGGTGGGAGAGAGCTGCGGTGCGAATAAAGTTTGGCGCGGCGCAGCGGGAGTGGAGCGATCGACAGACGTAGGGCTCTCCCGCGGCTGACCATCACAGTACCCAACCCGATTGGGAAGGACCGCTCGCGACTGGCAGCTGACGCGGGAAGGAGCGAGCACAATGCCGGGTATAAAAACCCTCTTACTTTGCATGCTTTGGAAGATCTTGCGCACTCAACACCTTGCATCCGCACCCACGCACACGCCCACACCACCGCTGCCCAGCTCTCTGCTCCTGCAACCTTTTTTTTTTTAAGTTTTTTCAAGAAAAAAAAAACCATCATCATGCCCAAGTCCTACGATCAGCACTTGATGGAGAAGAAGTGCATCTGTAAGTTTCATCTACACACAATCAGGCGATTTGATTCTGACACTGTTAAGTGCTCATCAAGTGCTGCGACACCAGCCTCTTCGATATGGAGCACGTCTACATCACTTGCGTCTCCGAGAACAAAGACCCAGGCGGCCCCTGGTGGGAGCTTCGCTGCATCAACAAAGACCGCCGCCACATCGTCATCAAGAAGGGCCCCAGCGCCCCCGGCCGCACACGTTTCCAGGCGTTGAGGCCTCTCTATGAGCAGCTGCTCGAGATGCTCCGGTAGGATTTACTCGCTCTTGCTCACTACTAGCACAAAAGCTTATCGTTGGTGTTCTAGTTCTGGCAATTGAATCGCCTGGCGCTTATCGGAACTGCGTTACAAATCAAATGGATGATGGGCTCGGGTTTCTGACTTTTCTTCGGTGGAGCAAGGGATTGTAGCCCACAGCGATGCTTGCACATTGATACCACGGGCATTGAGATGGTCTCATGAAAGTCTTCAATTCACTATTTTCTCGCGGCCCACAAAGATTTCGTGCTACACGAAGTGACATGACTTCAGTACTTGATTTACTGCGACACGCGCCACACGAAAGCCTCACATGAAGCCAATCGTGACCCTTCCTCCCTCACATCGGCTAAAAGCCAACCACACCTACTTGATCACCCACTTTTTCTTGTAGCACTTGCAACAAGTTCTTGAAAGCATCCTCCTTTTTCGTCTTTGGATTTCCCTTTGCCAGTTCCTTCTGTCCATACGAATTCTTCTTCCACAGTCGTGCTACCCAGGGGAAGTAGCCGTTTACTTTCTCCCACGAGATCATGATGAAAATGTCGTCGACCCTTCCATCTGAGGTGAAGAGGAATCTAGCGCAGCCTATATTATTATGCGTCAGCTAAAGGTAGGAAGAGCGTCAGTGAGGCAACATACTCAAAATCTGATCTTTGATGGGGAAGTAGTCCGGGAATTCTGCCTGGGACGACATTCTGACGCCTTGGGTTCAGCTTTTGCTTCGTCTAGATTCTCACGCAGTGTTGAGTTGCCTGCTATGCCTTCAACCTCTGGCACGCCCGCCTTTTATTTGCAGCGATGAGGGGGACCTGCCGATTGCCCCTTCGTTCAATCAAATTTCTGACACAGCGGTCTTCTCGTCTGACAGCTGACAATAATTGTGGGAGCAAAGCTTGTCAGAGCACATGTGACAGCCGATTAGAGAAGAGGGTATATGTCACGCTCTGTGATTTTTCGTCCTCATGCCATCATTCCGATCACTCTCGCGTGATCGGCTTGACACTGTGGGCACTTGGAAAACCTAGAGATGACTCAAGCTACCCTCAAACTTGCGTCTATGATTGCCGAGTTTGAATTGGATGTAAGATCAAGCTTCGCAGGGAAATGCCAAGATACACTCCCTGACTTACGAATTTTGTCATGAGTATGCGTTCCCGACATGGTTTATTAAATGGCCACACCTGGATGATCGCCAATTGCCTTCATTCTAGTACCTCTTTTGCCTTCGAGAGGGCCTGCACTGAGGCGTGTAGTGGGTTGGGGGCAACTTCTAACAAATTTCCCCAGTGTCTCTGGACGGAGGCTAGGCATTTATTTCACGGTTCTTGGCTATGCAGCCATAGTTGGTTTTGAGTCTTTGGCGTCTGTGAGAGTCACGGGCGACGGGAAATCTTGCTTTTTGTGGGCAGCTGAGACGAACATACGGATCTAATTCTAAATGTAAAATTTCTCACCTTCACAGAAACTCAAACGAAGGATTCACCTGCCGCCTGGAGTAAGGCCCACTGACTCCCGCTGAATAATATCGATCAGACAACTTGGTCATCGCCTGCTGAAGAAACACGCCAAAGGTACCCTCGACGTGATTGTGTTGTCACATGCGGACTCGGCTACTTTGCTACAGAATCATGTGGAATGCTGCTCTTGCGGGGCTGGCCACTGAATTTTCCAGTCAACTGCCGTGTTCGTGACCCGCGGCACCTCCTTTGGCAGGTACGGCTGTGTGATGATCCTCAAGTCGCTGCTTCCGCGCAACCGTTACCAGGTCAGATGCTCGCTTAGCTTGCATGCGCCCCATCCATTGGCATGTCCTCGCTGCCCTATTTAAACCTGCTGCCTTTCGACCATCGGCTCCCTTTTTTTTCTTTAGCTCTCTTTGCCTTTTGGCTTAGATCAAGAGTATCCTGTTCTTTTTAAGGCTAATCTCTTATATCTCACATTGATTCACCTCGTTTTTGGAACCCGCTCTCGGGCCGCTGAGCGCCGCTCATGCTCGAGAGCACAGTGTCGCTCGTATTGCACTACTTCGGGCTGACGCGACCTTCTCTACCTTTTTCGTTGAGTGATCTGTCTTGAGCAGGTCCTTGAGGAAGAAGATTTTTGGACTTGGGTGATCTCCAATTCGCGCCAGCATCAATTCGTCCTTGCTTGCTCCTTGCAGTGATTTGTGCCTCTGCTATTGAAACCGCGACGCGCCTTCTTGCCTTTTGCACTGTCGCATCGCAGTCGTGCCATGTGCGCCCGCAGTCCTTTTCAATTTTACGCAAGTAGCACACTCGGGCAGCGGGTGGCTTCAAGCTCTTGAGCGGTGTTGGAGTCGCATCCGGACGTCACCACCACCGAAACTGCAATGCCACATCGCGCGCGTGTGACAAAGAAAAGATCTAGGAGGCTCGCACAGCCGTCGGAGCTTAAGGTATAGCTTAGCTCGCGTAGAACTTGGCGTGCGAATACCCTAAACTCGCCGCAGAGGTGGGAAGACGGCGTCAGGCGTTCGTCCACGATCTTGCAAGAGCTCTCACGCAATTTCCGAGCGACGCTGCGCCAGGAAATCAGCTTGCATGGCCTCTGTAGCCGTGCCCAACTCGTAGCTTTGCACGTCTAGCTCAAAATTGTACCCGTTGACTTTCCAGCGATCTCTAGATTTTTCCTCTCTCAGCCTCCGAGGGGCAGCCTTCCGGTTGAGGGACTTGTGTGCATGCGACAATGGCGGCTTCAGAGGGGGGATGGGCCCAGGCCCCACGTCCAGAGGAGAAAAGCTAATTCCAGACGAGCACGAGCCGAGCTCAACATCCGGGCTGGGAGGGAACTAAAATGTACCGCGCTCCGCCGCCGCAAGGTGCGCTCCTATTCTCATGATGGAACAATCGTGCAGTAGCCGCAGTTTCCCCCAGCACGCGCTCAGCATTGGGAGCTCAGCGTTTGAGTCCGCCTGTGACTTTGCTACACGGCACCCTGTCGCCCCGCTAATTGAATAGTCACGTAGTCTGTTCCGCCATCCGCGCCTGACAGGACCGACACACCCAGAGTGGTCACGGACGAAACAGCGCCATTCCAACCCAGGATACAGGACAAAGGGAAAAGGGCTTGGATGGCGCGAACTGCAGCATCGTGTAGAGTCAGGTCTGGCGGAGAGGCTCGCTTGACGTCGCGCATCCGGCTGCTCGACAGACGTGGCGTTGGACAGAGTCTAGAGGGTCAGGTCTACAGGCATTGCAAGCTGCAGCGCGACCCATCTTCGCGTTTCCGTCTCAGTGATTGATCGTACCCGATTTGCTGCATTGTATCAGTCGCCTCAAATCAAGCGCATGCGATCGGTCAAGCGCGTTGTGGATTCCATGTGCAGACACTGACGAAATGGCGCGGGCGACCGGGAACTGCGGGCGTCGCTGGTCGCACATGCGTAGAGCTGCACATCTACGTCGTACCACACCAGTTGCGCCCAGCCCGACCGAACGCACGTCCGCGAGCGGGCGGCCTCTGTGTGTCGCTTGCGCTCATGTTTGCGCAAATGCTTGCTCTTGCGCTTCCGCTCGTTGCAAGCCGTGGGTGCCAAAACAAGCCTGCGCAGCCCCCCGCGCGAACAGGCGGACGTTTCGCGAACAACCCACCCTTTTTGCACACCACCCCGACACGAAAAATTTCCACGTCGCCTAGGTTCGCGAACAACGACTCTGCGAATATTCGATGGGCCGCTCAGTGCCGAAATAAGCACCCTCAAGCGCCGCCAAGCAAGCCACCATGCACGAGCATCATCATACCCCACACTCCCACTACCCCTACCTCGCTTCCGATGCAAGGGACGATAGTCAATGCTGGACGCCTGTCAGTGCAACCGTGGTACTGGTGTAACACCACGCGATAGCTTGTTTGGACGTCCAGCTTCTGGAAAATCCCCCAAATGGAACTGACCCACACACTTGCAAAGTCACCAAATTATTCACGGCGATGGAAGCTGGCGAGGGGCCTGACGCTGGATGTAGATCGAAGCTGCGAACTTGCCTCTGAGTCTAGTCTTCTCTTCTCTCCATTTTCTGCGACGGCGCTTGAAGGGTGTTTCAAACTGACCGTTCGACAGAGCATCTGATCCGCGGAACTCCTACTTGAAACGGCTCCCTAATGACAGCGCTGGCCTCCTTCTCATCCCCCCTACATTTGAGGATAAGCACGATCATGTCCTCGGCTGCCCCTGGATATGCTTTTGCGTCCAGAAAATACCTTGTGGTCGGAAATGGTGTGCATTTCCAGAATGACATATACATCGCTGAAGTAAACGCGATGTGACTGGACGTTGCAAGAAACTTGGGAGCAGGTGCGAATGGAACAGCAAACGCCTCCTTTTATTTCGGAGCCATGTGAGTGCAAGTTTGTCCAGCGTCTTTCACTCATTCTAGTAGCAAGCACTAATCTGTAATTGTCTCTGATCATGTTGTTTCTAGGAAGCTCCCCTTAGCCGCCTTCATATACTGTGAAGAACCTCCGGAAAACCAGACGGAATTCACTTCATCCGCGACCCTCACCACCATGAACCCTGCTGCCGATTTCTGGAAGCCAACCCAGCAGGGCGGCAAATCAGCCCTGAATACTGGACGTGGTGGAAACATAAACAATCAACAGAAGCAGCAGCAGCAGCAGCATCAGCAGCCATATTCCAACCGGATGCACCATCAGTTTTGTCAGAAGAAAGGATACGGAAATGTCAAGAACTGGCACTACATCCATCGCGATACCTTCCCCTCGCGTGAGCAGATCCTTGGTAAGTTTCCAGCCCACGCAAAGAGGCCATGCATCTTGCTGACAGAGCGTTCAAAGCGAACGGTCGTATCCTCCACCCTGGCTCTTCACTCGAACTTCTGACAAGCATTCACCCAAACACCGGCGAGTGCCTCGCCTTCCTCGTCAGTCTTTCTCGCCGCCATCAAACCGAGCAGCCGCTTGCTACAGTACTGTATTGGGGCAGGGGCTTCTCGATGGATCTAGCCATGGTTTGGCTGGAGTACCACGTGGACTGGGACTTGCATAGGCAATTGCGTGGCTTGGCTCAGGTTCCCAATGGCTTTTGGAATGATGTATGGGGCGGGCTGCGATGAGCTGATTTTAGGCTTCTCCTAACAATCTATAAGTGCGGGAAAGACACTACAAGGACACACTGTACATAGATTAGACCATGGCGTTTGAACGCTGTAGAAATGAGACACAGAGTGGCTTGGATTGAGCCTGTCGTTTATGCTGAGGGCAGTTGAAATCATGTGAACCTTTAAATTTCTTTAGCCACAGTCTCTCTGGATGGTGACCGGTGCCATGACGGATTGATTGATTGATACGCTCGGTGGTGGCCCATGCTGGATTGATATGATTGGCGCGGGTCGGGTGCGACCTACCTGTGAATCGCGGACTACTCGTTCGCAACTCTCGCAAGCTGATTTCTCTCCTCCAACACTCCGACCACCGATCAGACACACCTCTCGTAACAACAGTGATCAAGCAAATCATCATGTTCTCGTACACGACCCTTCAAGTTTTCCGCGCTGACGGAATCCGCTTTCGCAATCAAGAGATGTTCATGGACTACACTCTCATGAACGACAGTGCGCTGCTCGAGGACCCCGACAACACTTGGTACGACGAGGAGCTGCACGCGTACTACGCTAAGACCCGCATTGATGCCCGCCTCGCAGCCCACATGGACTGCATTACCGGTATTACCCAACAGTTCTCCTTCTGCACACCCTCCCAAGATCTACAGCAATATATGCATTGCAGCACATCATGAAGACGTTCTGTGACTGACGCGCATTTGCAGAGTTCGCCAAGAACAAGTTCCCCGGCAACAAGGTCTATTACACAGTCAAGCTTGAGCACATCCAGAAGGAGCCGCTCTATCTGGGCCTCGAGGAGCCTTGGGCGCTCAGCAAGTGGAGGGCGTGCGTGTGGCGCTACGACAGGCCCCGCCACTACAGGTACGAGATGGTGGCCACGCCGCACTTCGCACACGAGCACCAGGCCTTGCAGGACTTGGAGATGCGCTTGATCAAGATGTTCCTAGGCCGCGACGACGATGAGGCGGCTCGCGAGCTGTTCTCCAACTGGTGAGCGCCAACCGCCTTTGTGAATTACGGACACGGTGTGTGCTGACTTTATCGCCAGGATGGATAAGGACTACAGCAGGCTCTAGGCGCCAACACGCAGGGGATGCCCATCATAGGGCCTATGCCTATGGGATTCTAGTATGTTATGGGCAGCATAGCTTGGCAAGGAGACTCGGCATGAATAGAATATGGTTCTTTAGAGGGTGCCTAGTGCACAAATGGTTCTCCTTGCTGTGCAGAAGCACGGAATGAAATTTCCTTCCGCCATGTCTCCCTTTCTCTCCTCTGGCCATGTCTTCAATCGATGACAACGCTCTCTGACCCTTTATATCTCGTTGTGCATCTTGGACAGAGAGAGGCGGAAGGAAGGAATGATGGGCCGATCAGGCATCGTTGTCATCTTCGCTATCACTGGCATCGTAGTCAGGGCCGCTATGACAGGCGTGAGTCAGCATGGGCAAATTACAAGAGGCAAATGGCTTTAGTCATCTAAACATACACAGGGAAGAGGGCAGCGTTCTTATAGAAGGTAGCATAGAGGATCTTCAGCCTCAGGTTCTCGACGGCGGCCTCGGGCGTGGGGCATGCATCCGACTCCTCCAACAGCTTGAACTCGCCCCTAACCACCACGAACACCCTGTAGATGCACAGCGTGCTGGGGATTTCAGGAGTCGGGGAGGCAAGATCGAAGTGAAGAGGAGAATAATTCCACCAGGGACCCGGAAAGTCCTGCATGAGACGGTCTGCGTGGTATCAGGTTCCTTGGCGCAATCTGCTGTTAATTGCTCTGGACGTACCGATGATGAGGACGCGGCCATCGAACTCAGCGCGGCTGAGGATATATACGCCACCGGGGGGCGCATTCGTGTACGGGTACGCCATTGTCAAGTCTGATGGTGCTGAGTTCTTGTGAGGAGCGGGTAATGGACCGGTCGACGGTTGTGTCAATTTGAAGGGACGGAGCTGCGGAGGAGCACAGAGCATGTCAAGTGCGCATACGGCTCTCAACCAAGCCCCGAAGGGATTAGCCACCCGCAAAACCCTGCATGACGGACTGCGCCTGTTGACCCGACAGCACGAGCTGCGTATAGTCCGTGCGTATGCTAGTCGTCGCGCGTTCATGCGCTTGAATCATGACCGCCAGGCATGTGCTCTGTGACCACACTGGTCCATATACAAGCGTCCGCCGTCACTCTTCTTCTACTGTCCTCCCAATACGATCAACTGCTACCCACAAGTCATTTGCCCGAATATTCCGGCACCATGGATCCCCAGGAGCAATTCTTGGAGGCCAGGACGGAGCTTCTCGGTAGGCTCTCTGGCCCATGAACACCCACAACCAAGCATCTGCTGACAAGCAACCTTTTCACAGCCTACTTCAATTCCCACCTTCGCGACTATCTCGACGGCCGCCCCGGATTCAGCGCCCAACTCATTCTGATCAGTCCGCGTCAGGATTTCATGTACATGGTCACGCTCTGGTGCGAGGATGACAGCTTTCACCAGCACGGTATCGCCTGCGAATACACTGTGTCAAGCAGGCGCGTAGCTATGGAAAAGCTATGGGAGCTCGTGCAGTAGCTGCCGTATCAGGTTGGAACAGGCAACGAGTCGTCTGAGCACGGAAGCTGAGTGCAAGAGGGATCGTGCGCCCTGAAGTGTAGCAGGTATCATGATCTACACCGAACTCGAGTCGGGTGTTTTGGATCGGCACAAAAATGGGACATTAGTCGGATGAACTGGGCAGCAAGACTGGCATGGGACGACAAGCTGGGACGAGATTCGTCCTCCGTAGAACCACAACTCCAAAGGCTGCAAACATTGACATTTCTGCTATTATCCCTGTGTTCTTTGTCCTTGGGCGCTGTTCAAAGGAGTTTGTGCATCGTAACCTCAAGCGGTTTGCTGTGCTACATGTATACATTGTGAGGAAACCGGTTTGCGTGGGAGTCCTTGGCTCAGAGACAGCAAAGTCCTGTCGCTTTGTTCGGTCCTAACTTCCGTATCTGTGTGTGCACACGCTGTCAGCTCGTTGAAGTGCGATGTTGCAGAAGTCAAGAAGTCTTACCATCGAGGCTTCAGACTCTCGATCTCCTTCATGATCCTCTTGTCGAGGCTACACAGGGCCCTTTCGACAGACTTGCAGTGGCGGCCAGCCATGATGAGGAACATTGACAAACCAGTACAGTGATGTTCGGACTCCATCCTGATCCACTTGTTCTTTGGGCGGAACTCGCGGCAGTCGAAGAGCATTTCCATAATTTCCAGCTCAACTGCCATGCTGCCGTTGTGGAACTGCTCGATGGTGACGAGCTGCGCACGGTAGAATTCCCCCTTCTGACGGATGAGGACGCGCCAGCCGTAAGGTTGATCGGTTTTGACGAGGTGTCCAAGACGGACGGTTCCAGCGTCTGAGAGTATGTCAGCGACTTTGAAGCGCGGTGTGCTGGGAAGCGGATGCGCTCTACTGCAATGGCCCTCCATCATCGAGACTACCCCTTCTTCGACGTCATACATGTTCATGCGATAGTCCCAGTCGTTTTGGTGGTCTTTGGGGATGTAATATTTGTAAGAATGCGGAACTGGGGCCATTTCGGCGGCCCGTTTCTGAGATTGCGGATGTCCGCCAGTCATGGCTAGAGGAAGGCGCGGGCACTAAGCTGGCGGAGAGTGCGCGAGATGGCGGTCCGGACGTCGCCGCGGAATCCTCCGCGCACACTCCTCAAAGATTACCCCCATCAAGATTGATTGGCAGCATGCTCGTCGTAGATTCCAGAAGAGGGTCGCGCGCTCGCAGAGACGAGGCCCGCTTCGTCACGCAACAAGTCCGCACAAGCTCTGAACTGCGCGTAACTCGCTCAACAAATGTCCCTGCATAATGGCCCACAGATCGTTGAAATTGGCAACGTAAGCGACGCGGCGACTGGAGCGCACGGCGTCGCGTCCAGTTTAGCTGCGCAGATGCTCCGAGTCCGTCCTCCCACACCCGCCCTCCCCAGTATCCTCCACTTCATCCTTGTCCCACGGAACTGTGCCGCCATGTCTACCGAAAATTCACAAGAGAGCCCTGCAGTCATGTATCATCAAGCCCTCCGTTCATTTCATCGTCGCGAGCTCGGACTTCTTGCTGCGCGCAGAGTGGTGAATAATACCCTTCCGCTGCACTATGAGTTGTACCCTGCGCAAAACCGCGTTGTGCTTTCCGTCACGTTGGAATCTACCTCGCAACATGAGAACTCTCAGGAGGACCGCAGCATCCAGCGGGCGGGCCGTATCTCTCAACACGAAGCCCCAGGCCAGTCCGCCCTTCCGCAGTCCAGAGCCCCAAACTCTGCTGCTCGTCCGAACGCCCCCTCTTCAGTCAAGAAGCGCAACTTGAGGGGGGCAACTTTTGCGGCCGACGACTACATTCACGACATCCGTGTAGCTGCGCAGCCCGATAGCAGTGTCGAAAGCTACCTGGATTGCTTCCACAAGGACGACACCGAGCTGATCTTCCCTGGCAACTATGAGCCTTCTCAGACAAGCTACGGCCTTCCTCAGCCCTCTGCTACTTCGTATGGCCCTCCGCAGGACGCCCACTTGCAGCATGCCGGTGCGGGCCAGGGCGGTTTTGGGCTTCATACCCCGTTCCCCCCGCCGAGCGCCTTCAGAGAATTTCCCTTTTCTCATTACCACCCTGCACAGCACACCGATTAGGGACATACGGGTCCACAACGGCCGCCTGGCTTCGCAGCCAAGTGAGACAATGATGTGCGAGGGGCTGTTCAGGACGAGAAGCCAGTGACAAGAGGTGTCAAAGGCCTGTAAGTGCTGATCATTGTCGATGTGCATGACTATAGGCTGACAGTTCAGAAACGATGCTAGCACTTTTGCTCCCACAACGACGCACAGATCCACTCATGCGTCTACTTTCCAATACAAGCTTCTTTTCTCAGTTTCAGTCTTTACGTCCCTGCAACAAGGCTTACGATAATGGCCCCCTATACCACCTTTTCCACAAATTGAAAATTCACTATTGCTAGCACTCCTAGCTCCCGATTTCATAGCAGCAGCTCCACCGTACCGGATCGACCAATAATGAAATGTAAGGTTCAGGGGCTGTGCCCATTCGGATGGTAGAGCGGAGGCAAGCTAGGGGTTACTAGCTAATAACGAGATTTTGAAGTAGAATAATTTCAGGGTAATAATTCAGGGAGTCCACTCTGGTAGTATTTTGGACGTTTGCGTTGTGTAAATCCTTTGCCGTGAGGCCGACTCAAATCGCCGGATCATGGCATGAGCTTTTCTGGGCGAAGTACTTCCAGAGGAGATTGGGGACTGACAGTACATTCACAATAAACATGCGATGGGAGTCAAAAGATGGCGGAAGTTGATTCAATGGTGCTCCTGTTGATGTAGCTGCAGAGCGCGCAGGCCTTGTGTAACGTAGGTAGGTTTAAGCTTTCCTCGCGCGGGTCGGGCCGTGCCGCCGGAGTTGAGACCGCTCTCGCTCCAGCATCATGCACTGACCAGTGTCAGCATTCGTCGAAGAAATGTCTGCTATCGCGAGCTGTTGTTGAATCGCACTTGCAAAGCTGTGAGACCATAATCTCGAAGCAAATTTCACGAAGGTGCCCCTGGAATTTCTCGAGTGAATGGCACTACTGTCGCGGAGAAGAGAGGTGGATTCGGTCGGTTCGGCCATGGCACTCATATGCTGCTGTCCTCTATTACTAGCGCTAGAACAGCAGTGATGATGATTGCTGACATTTTAGCTTGAAAAGGACCGTATTTGTCCCTGGGTCATTTGGCGGGTTAGTTGAGCATAGAGACCCGCTTGTCCATGCCTTGCCAAATTCTTGTGAGAAGCTCTCCGAACCCGAGGGGCCCTGCCTGGGCAGTGGGCAGCGCAAGATCTGCTGCCATGCCTAACCGTGCAGCAGCCAGCCTGCGAGGTCGATCAAGATATTCTCTCCTCCGACAGCCACCACAACCATCACTACCCACACCGACGACGACGACAACAACAGCACCACCACCATGCCGCTTCCTCCACCACCGCCCACTCCCGCCCAACAGCGCCGCCGCCAACTGCGCGCAGCCCAACTCGGCTACGTCTGGCGCCGCGGCGCCCGCGACCTAATCCGTACGCAACCTCCTCCCCCCCTGCAACCACCTCCCGCGCGCGCGCGCGCTAACACGCCAATGCCAGCTTTCGCCAGCCGCTACCTCCCCGGCGCCTGCCCGCCGACGCGCTGCTGGGCCATCCGTCTGCAGCGCGATTGGTCGCCGATCCGCCGCCCGCCCACCGCCGCTGCCGAAGACCAGAACCGCCCGCGCCGCCGCCCTGTCCTCCGCTGCCGCCTCTTCAGCGAGGACGAGATGGGCCGTCGCATCCACGTGGTGGACAGCGGTCGCTGGGCGCCGCACAGGATGGCGGCGCTCGAGCGGCTGCGGAGGAGCATGCGGGGGCTGGCGCGGGTCGTGCGCGGGGCGAGGAGGGAGAGGCAGGAGAGGGGCGGATGAGTCGTAAGTCGCTAAAGGCCTGTTGAAGTAGCAAGCGATTGTGCTGACTGTAAGCAAACAGCAGATCAAGCGCGACCAGTACGGCATCCTCTTCTTCGGGGTCGCAGACCGCAAAAAGACCGGACGCGTGACTCTCCACGACTGGACCACCTGGCCTCGAAGCCCGATGCCGAGTACGAGAGCGCGTTCCGTCCCTTTGACGTCGACTGGTTCGACAACTTCCTGGAAATCTACAACAAGCACAGGGGCGATGATGCTCTGCCATTCGACTGGAGCTCGGAATGGGCGTCATTATACATTGGTTGCAAGAACAAACGCCACACGATGGTGGGACGGCTGGATAATTGGGAGATTGGAGAGAGGATTAAATTGGTTTCTTGTTGGTGACGACTCGTCTCGTGCATGCTGTGCTTGTGAAGTTGGGGATTGATCACAGAGCATCTGTTAGCGTACTATGAGCTGCAGAATTTATTACGGCGTCTGTTAGTGATCCACTCAGCGCTATTGAGCAGTATTGTTGTGTGAACCATATACAGACTGGCCACACAACGTTGTAACGCTGGCTGGTGGTAGATTAGGTAGCTTGGACTCGGAACGTGGTATCGAGGTCACACGAGCTTGGGCAAATAGCACGATGGATGTACGTAGACACTGGCTGCTTGGTGACAATCTGAATTGATGGAATGACTCTGTGTTCTCAGAGTGAACTGGTCTTGCTGCAAGACGTACAGGGAGGACATTCACACAAAAACGCTCAAACATGCTCCGAGGAGCATAACGAGTGTCTGTTTCTCATTTGGTCCGTGTAACTCTGCTTCCACAAGCCTCATGTTGTCTTTCAGCTCGCCGCACGATTCTGGACAAGGTTGGTGGAAATGGCCTGGTGCATCGTGACAAAAAGGGCCTTCAGTGCGGAATCGCTGCGACGATTATGGATAAGAGGTAAATTGGCAGAAGACGGCTGAGTGCTCATATGCACCTGGTACGCGGTGGCGGTGCTAATAAGGACAGCTAAATTAACCTAGGAGATAGTAAACTCTGCTTTCCATGTTAACTCGTGCCTCCTGAAGACCGGTGGCACAGTGTCAGAATCGTGTGGCCGAAGCAGACGAGGATCAATTTCGTGGTAATTTATCGCCCTTGATGGCGTCGGCAAGCTTGAGCGAGGTGTTGTAGAAAAGCCTAGCGAGAACAAAGTAGAGATAATCAATGTGTGGAGGACGAAAAGGCGGCATAAATGCGAGTCGCGGCGGACGTTGTAGATGGCAATGTCTACAGTAGAGGTACATTTGTGTCAAAGGGATGACTACCAGAAATGAGCCGACAATTCCCCAGCTTTGCGCACGCCAGGCTTCCCTCCGCCCCGCCCAAGAGTAAGCGGGTGGTGTCATGCGACGGTCCGGTGAGTCGCCCGTGCGCCAGAGCGAGGTGCTGCATGCTCCCAAATGCGTCTGCGCCCGCGCCCACGCCTGCGCCCAAGCCCACGCCCACTCTCCCACTCACAGACAACAGCCCTGTAGCCAAACCAACGCTCCACACACCATTTCGAAAGCAAATCTTCCACCATGTCCGAGGGAAACATTGACGATGAGGCGCGCCGCATTATCTCCCGTATGTCAAGCGTCCCCCATCTGCCCCTGACTCAGCGCGCTAACTCACATAACTCAGGCCAGATCGAAAAGCTGGAGAGACACTACCCAGACCACGGCACTGGTGATCTTGAACTCGCCCATGAGATGTACCAAGGCGTGATCTACCTCGAAGTCTTCTTTCGCGCCACCGCCCGTCACGGACACAAGACGATAGCCGTAGCCCATGGGGGCTCGCGTGACGAGGTGTTCTACGCGCTTGTGCCTAGACTGTACATGAGGGAGGTCAGGTTCAGGATCGAGGAGCGCGGCAAGGACTGTGACTTCAGGATGTGGAAGAGGCGCGTAAGTTCTGTTGTCTGGCCCACTTTGATAGCTTCAGATCTTACAGGACGCAGATCGGGTTCGTCTCCCGCCCATCTCCTTTGCGCCAAGGATGGACCGCCTAGCTTCACGAGAAAAGGCATTCTCCACAGGGTCACATTAGGCGCCCCATAGCCCCTACAAAGCATAGCTTAAAGGAGTCGAAGAACCTCGTAGTCCACGCCCACAACGCGCCTCCATCAAGAAAGGCATTGAAGAAACGTGCACATTGAATCAAGGACAAGGTCAAAATTGCTAGACAACTACTTCATTTCTCTCAATGTGTCCTTCGTAGCTCCGCCCAATCCAGCCCATCCCCCTTCCCCTGGCCTTCTGTATCTCGAGCTCCATAGCAATGTCAGGATTCGTGGCGGATGATCGGTAGCTTATACGTTTGCGGCAGATGATTGGCTGACTCCCATCTGCGAATTAGAATAACGTTAGCCAAATGGTTTCTAAGGCGTGGTAGCAGAGAGTAAGAAGACGGAGGCCATCAGAAAAAGTTTTGTTCTCATACACGACACAGCATAGAGCGGTTGTGTTCGAGTGGTAATTCTTGGGATATGAAATCATCATTGGAAGACAGGGTAGAGAGGAAAAATGAACGACTGACCGTAGGGAATTATCGGCAAGAATCATGCCTTTGAGAAGTCAAGTAATTAGTGCTGGGCTGATTCATACAAGACGACAATGAGGAAGTTGGGACTGAGGATTCGCACTTACAGTGGCCAAAGTGGCATAGCCGACTACTTTGAGGGGAGGCGATGAGGACCTATCAAAACGTTGAGACAAGTTAGCATTGGTACTACTCGAGTGTCGAGTCAAAGAAGCCTGGGTAAAGGGAAGTCTCCATACTATCAGTCGAGCTCTAGTACGCATTTTCAACCAGGACTACCCTCACGGATCCACTAAGGTCACCATGAGGGATCCGGCTGACACCTAATTGCGAAGTGTGCGGGTCATAAGACCCTCATCATCCATGAAGACGCCTATGCGTGGAAAGAAAAATCGAGAAAGGACTGACCTGGGAAAGGAAGAAAATACTCGACTGGACGGATTCCACATCACTTTTGAGTCAGTATGGGCGGTGCGACAGGAAAGGCGACACGAACGATTTTTGCGCAAACTATAGAGGCCGACGTGATCAGCTCAACTTCTTTAAAATTTGAGAGTAAGGTAGGAACTTACAGAGTCAGACGCGAAAAGGAGATGCGATTGCGTACGTCGTAGCGTTTTGGGAACCTGCTCAAGTAAAATTAATTAGCGTGAATATATAACTCATTGCAACAGAATTGAAGCGCTGAGAGCTCTGTCAGACAAAGTGGACTTTGTGTCTCCCCATTGACAACCTAACGCCAATAAAGCGTGGTTGTCTGAAATGCTCTTTTTAGTTATAGATGGTCATCATTGAAGAGGAGGACGGTAAGAAATATTACACACTTACATGACATTGTGAAAGCAGCGAGGTAGAAAATAAGCGAGGTTGTCAAAAATTCTGAGCAGCTGCGGGAGTCTCAACTTCAAGGTTCTGCAATGATTGTTTGAATTAGCATCGGTTTGTAGATTAAAAGCCAAGGTGAACGAAAGGATCATCAAGACTGTCCTCAGGAAATAGCTCGGAAGTTGCCTTTGATTTTGGCATCGAGGACCTGACCCTGGGGCCGGTTCTCTTGTAAAGTTCTTTCACTTTCATCACGGGACGCTAAAGGGGATAAACACGAGATGTACTTACATGCAAGAAAGAGCTGTGAGTAGCGTATCATAGCGAAGCCGTCGCACAGCTAATAAAAGATGACTAAATTAGCGCGATTCTCAAAGTTCAATCATGGTGAGACTAAATGTATTTGATTTGATCAGACGAAGGAATTGTTTCGTGAGCCCCCCACCCGAAAGTTGGTTGCTTCAAAGTGTTCTTTCAAGGAAATTTTTTTGGGTATCATAGAAAGGGGAGGAAAGAAAAAGGGAACTCACATACAAGAGAGAGGCCAAGCGAGAAAGGAGGGGATCGGGAGCAAGGAAGGAGTGCGACGTCGGAAGGGAGTAGCTGAAGGTCGTGTTTGGCACTGCGAAGGAAAAAGTTAGCAAGATCTTCCATGATCAGTATGAGGAAGAACAGCTACGAATGGTGTGCTCAGTCCAGCTCAGAAAGTTTTATCATTCGCTCCAGCCGGCTTCCGACCTGGTCGCTCTGCTGCCGATGCAATGACAGAAAGCCACGGGGTAGCACGAAGGGGCGTAAACTGAAGTGGCTTGGGCTAAACGCCCTCATCATCGCGCGAAAAAAAATGCAATGGTAGATCCACTTACATGAGACATGAAGGGCGCGTGGGGAGAGGCCACGCATGGAGGATTGGTCGCAAAGGCCATCAACCAGGAATGGCAGAGTGACTTGATCTAAGCCAAAAGGCAAAGAGAGCTGAGGAAGGAAAGAGGCTGGAGCGCGGGCAGATTAGTGGGGCTTTTATTTAGCGAGACTGAGGGCGATCGGGTGCGGCATGCGACGAGGTCGTGACCACAGCAACCACTGCTGCCTGGGGCCAATGGAAACCGGCATCCGCAGCGCACGATGGTATCCATCAAGGCAGTCACGACTGGTAGAAGCCCCCTGGCGCGGAAGGAGCCAAGGTCAGCCGAGTGGTCTGGAGGGCTGGGCGAAAGCCAGGTGGATCAGCAGCGCCTCAGCGGCGGCTGATGCTCAGGACAGCATCGAGCAGCTGCGGAGGCATTGTCCAGACCCGCCTTGGCGCGCGAGACGGGATGGGCGGTCAAGTGCGCTTCTGGACATCTGGCGGAGGCGCACTGAAGGGGCGCGCAAGTTTTGGGCGGCCGCTACGATGCCGTAAGCCATCGCTAGGTGTTGAGCCTCTAAATCAGTGACTCGGCGCGTCACGACAGACGTCTGGCAACAGTGAAACCTCGCTTCCGTCACTCTTGCAAACCATGGTGCAACCTTTCGTCATTACATGTCAACCGGCGCAGCGATTAGCACAGGCATACGGTGACAAGTCTCAGAACCTCCGCTTCTGCGCATTGTGCATGTCTACGACCTTCATGTGAGCGTCAAGACACCCCGACTTGTCTTAGCAGGCCACCCGCCGCCTCTACACTAATGTCCCAGCGACCTCCAGTCACAGTATTCGACGCGATCCGACTATCAGCAGCACTGCGCGCCAGTTTCCATCCCTATGGCCCTGCAGCAAGTATGGCATGTCCGACTGAACCTCTCCCTCACTCTGTGTGCGCAGCCAGCTGACAATCGGGCAGACAAAAGGACGGTCAACTACAAACCCCCGACGCGTGTGACCCTCATATTCTTGTTTCTGCTTCACGCCGACAACAATGGACACAAATTTCCAAGTTCCAACTCCTCGTCGACAGTCGCGATGCACCCTTGCAAGGCTAGACAGTACCCGCCACGTCGCTGGGCCGCTCATCCACAACGAGGACAAATACGAAGAAAACTCACGTGTCTTGCGCGGGAAATAGGCATCAGATGGCAATTGGGTACAAATGGAGACAAACAAGGTGACTCGGCTGATCTGTGTCTGGAGTGAAGGCGGTGGCACATTGTTGCTCAGGAGGCATACCAACTCTCTTACCTTTGAAGGTTTGCAGGATCATGGAGATTTGCGCGGTGACCGTGACACACTCTTGCCCACCTGTCAGGAGAGGAGACTTCTTGCTGTGCGGCGGAAGCCTGTGCCTTGGCCTGAAAATTGTCTCGAGAAGCTTCATCAGGCTCAGCTATGACATACTCGCCCACAGTATTGACCATGACGCCAGACGGCTGACGTGAGTCGTCGGTGAGGCCGTCAGTGGTGAGCGCCTTCTCGATCGTCTGCAGCATAGAACGCAGAATGCCCGTCGTACGCTTGATACGGGGCTTGTCGAAGTTCGGATAATCTATCCAGGAGGTCAGCTAAGATCACAGAACACATAAGCAACTGGGCGTGTTCACTCAAGCGCAAGAAACAAGGAATGATCGATTTTCGAGCGAAACTCATGGCATTGCTCACTTTTCTCTCTGCCGGTATGTTTTCTCCCCCTCGCTCCAAGGAAGCTCTAGAACACTTCTTACAATCTCACAACCAGGGGCGTGTAGTAGCAATGCTTTGAAGACCGTTTGCGGCGACCCACCAAAGTTTGCGGTCACTGTATAGCGATCAGCCCCGTGAATAGTGGAACGAGACATTCGCTGAGAAGGTGCTAGGAAGAAGATTTTCAATACTTCGGACACTCGTCAAACTTGCAGCAGGTCAATAGAGATCTCGGACACAGAAATAAAATATGTTGGACAAACAAACAGTGAAGGATAAGAAATACGGAGGGTCAAATCGGCTTCCATGCTTGTTGGAAGGGACGCTACTACACTTTGTCTCATCATGGAATGGCAAAGTAAGATGACATGGGGTCAGACTTGCTGCATGTGGCAAGTATTCCACGCATGCCACATGCGACGCTTAGGTTCGTGCTTTCAGATCAGGCGACACGAAAGCAGCATGATGTACGCTTGTCAAGAGGATACACAGCAAGAAAAGAGTGTCGCATGTTCATGGAACAATGGTTGTTGCTTGCGGGCGATGACTAAATCTACTTCTTCGCTCTGGGTATTTAATCTCTTCGCCTCTCAAAGCAAGATATCCTGTAATCAAGCTCCCCAGCAAAAAATCACCTCACAGACAGACAATCTCACAATGAGCGATTACACCCAAGAAGCCAGTTTGATCCAGTTGATAGCGGGTATGTGGAAGGCACCTTGGCTCAGTCACTGCTAACAAGCCCCAGATAACGCACGCTGCCTTCCAGGATATGGCAACTCTACTGTAGGCGTTGCCACTGGACTAACAGACCAGCCATATGGGAACCCCATGTACCGCGCCTACCTGATTGTCAACTCTCAACCGGTCGCTGCGACACATGACTCCTCGAGTCGACTGGGAGCACAGCTTGATTTGTTTTCAAGGGTGGAGAAGAAGTTGGGACACACATTGCGAGTCCCGCATTACCAGGACCTTTAGCTTAGGAGTCATGGAGAGGGGTAGAATCTTGGCATAGGATTTGAGGATAGAGGGGGACTTCTGACAAACGTGGGCGTTGGCGATAGCACGTAGCAAATATGTTACAGTTTGGTCCCAGAGGAGAGATGTGGTGTAAGCAATATGCATGAGCTCGTAACGACAGTGTGATGCAAGGGCTTGAGGCTGGGTCCGTGAGTGCATGATCTAACGTGTTGAGGAAGGTTGAGCCCCTTGCGAGCCGAGCGACGTTGCGCACAAGCATTTGTGGCGTGTGGGTCGGCGTCATTTTGCGACATCATCAATATGACACCAGACTTCAACCAGCGTAGGTGAAGCCTACATTTTTCAGGATCAACAAATTTCGAAAAGTCGCTATTCAATCGTAAAGAATTTTTTGGGCTTGGAAATGGCTGAAGGCATTACGCGGCTGTCGGAATACGCGGGGTCGCACGTGTCTCGAAAACGGGCTCTCGTTCGCTGCAGCCCCTCTTGTCTCCACTCCAGCAGAAGGATATCGGCAACACCATGCCGAAATCGTAAAGCAGCTTTATCTGTGCGCTGCTCAGTCTGGTGCCGGTTCCGAAAGTCCGCTCTTGCACTTCGGGCTCGGTCTCGGACAGCGAGGCCGAAAATCGCACTGCGAGCCCCGCATTCCGCAACGAGTTGCGTGCCTAGGCAGCAGCTGCGAGCGAAGCTTTTCCTGCAAGTGCTTATCTCAACCTCAAACCTCTTCTCTCTCCTCACGACCTCCGTCCGAGACGATTTCCAGGGCGAATTGCTGTCGCGCCGCGACTTGAATCTCTCTCAGCACTCTGACAGACCGCAACGGAGCCCCGGCAACCCATTGCAGCCCTCGGCCGCCCGCAGCTCGCCCCTCAACACCATCGCACCACTCTCCCACCATGGCCTTCTCCTGGCACAAGGTCGCGGCCGAGCTGGGGCTGCCCACGATCCTGCACGCGCCGCTCGACCTGCACATCATCTTCATGACGCGCTTCCTACGCATGCTGGCCTACGGCGGCGTGTCGCTGATCCTGGCCCTCTTCTTCGCCGCGCTCGACGTCTCGGACGCGCGCATCGGACTCTTCATGACGCTGACGCTGCTGGGCGACGTCCTTCTGTCTCTCCTCCTCACGCTCGTCGCCGACACGCTCGGGCGGCGGCGAGTGCTGCTGCTCGGCTGCGGCTGCATGGCGCTGGCCGGCGCCGTCTTCGCCCTCGCGTCGAGCTACTGGTTCCTGCTGATCGCCGCCATCGTCGGCGTCATCAGCGTGTCGGGCAACGAGATCGGGCCCTTCCGCGCCGTCGAGGAGAGCGCGCTGGCCGGCCTGGTCGGCGACGCGTCGGGCGCCCGCAGCGACGTGTTTGCCTGGTACGTCGTCGTCGGCACCCTGGGCTCGGCCGTGGGTCTGACGGGCTCCGGGTGGGTCGTTGAGGCGTGCAAGAAGCGTGAGGGCTGGGAAGAGCTGGATGCGTTCCGGGTCGTGTTCTGGTGCTACGGCGCTGTCGGCCTGGTCAAGGCGGTGCTGACGATGCTGTTGAGCGTGCGCTGCGAGGTCGGGTACGTTGCGGCGGCGGGCGGCAGCCGCGGTGCTTACACGGCCGTCAGCAGCAGCTCTGGCGGCGGCAACAAAGACACAGCCGCGGAAGAGGCCGACGAGAGCGAGCGCGACGAATTCCTGGTCACGCCCTCGCGGTCGTCCGGCTCGTCCGACGGCCACGGCCACGCGCGAGACGACGAGACGAACGAGCGCCCGCTCCCGCCCACGCCCCCGCAGCCGGCGCCCCCGCCAAAGCCCAAGATCGGTTTCGCGCAGCTGTCCAACTCCACGCGCTGGATGATGCTCAAGCTGTGCGCCCTCTTCGCCGTCGACTCGCTCGCATCCGGCATGGTCCCCTATTCGCTCATCAACTTCTACCTCGACCGCAAGTTCCACATGCCCAAGTCGACCCTCGGCAGCATTATGGCGACGACCTGGGTGACGTCCAGCATCGGCAACATCTTCGCCACCGTCATCGCGAAGCGCATCGGCCTGATCAAGACCATGGTCTTCACACACTTGCCCTCCGCGTTCTTCCTCGCCCTGATCCCCGCGCCCCGCGCCATATGGCTGACGGCTGTCCTGCTGGTCGCACGAGGCACGCTTGCGAGCATGGATCAGGCGCCTCGCTCGGCGTTTTTGGCGCTCGTCGTGAAGCCGGAAGAGCGCACGGCCGTTATGGGCATCGTCAATGTCGTCAAGACACTGAGCCAGAGTGGCGGGCCGTCAGTGACGGGCCTGCTGGCGGGCGGTAACAGGTTTTGGATCGCGTTCGTCGTGGCCGGCGCCATGAAGGCATCTTACGATTGTGGACTGATGTCTCTCTTTGTGAAGGTCGAGAGGGAGGCGGAGGGCGCTATCAAATTGGGGCAACAAGAATCACGGGAATTGGCAGATGAGTTCGAGCTGGACACTGACGATGAGGGGTTCGACAGCGACGATGGCAGGCCGGGGAAGAGACGCGACTCGGCAGCTTGAGACACGCGGTAAGGACATGATGAACATATTTCTTTGCAAGAAGCTACCTTTCGGACGGCAGAGGTTGATTTCGTATCTACGCCTAATGACTACACAATACTCTGCGTTCACCACCTCAGTTTCTCCGTGAGTACGATGTACTCAGTGCCCCTTGGCTCCATTTATCCATAAAGTCTTCGACAATATCTTCCACCAATTCATCTTCATCATCAACATCTTCATCACTATCGTCTCCATAACCAAAGTCTTCATCCATGGCGTCTTCATCACTGGTGATTCTGCGTCTAGCGTCTCCGACCTTATGTTTGGCGTCGTGGTTGTCATCGTCATCGTCCATCTCCGGTTCCGTTGAAAGGGGGTCTAATTCATCCTCATCCTCTTCATCCTCCCCCTGATCCCTCCTTTCCCAAGATCCATCCCTCCATTCGTACTTCTTATCCGAGTCTCTCATCGACACTCCTTTGGCCCCAGGCCTCCTGCCACGATCCTCCATCGGCCGGACCCGCACAATCGTTCCATCCGTCTTGAGCTCTTTATGCGACCGGTTCACATGCTGCACCACTTTTTGTGCGCTCCGGAACTTTCTACGTTCGTTTACCGGGCAGAGGCCGCACATGCGCTCGCACCGTTCGAGGGTGATTACCAGTCTGCCATTGATCTCGGGAATGGGAGACTCTGATTTTGGTTCGGTGTCCGGAGATGGCTCCAGAGGGGTGAAGGTGCCGACCCACCAGTGGTCATGTTCAGGGTTGGAGCAGGGCATTTTCTAGATGATGTAATTTGGTTCGGCTTGGATTGTGGGGGTCTGCTCGTTGGAGATGTGCCTTGGGATTTTCGCCTGGAAAATTGATGGCAGCGTGTGCTTTATTCCCTCACACACATAGGATTTGGTCTGCTATTTGTACGTACAAGGCTTAGAGTTCTGTCTGCTCGAGGCGGCGGATAGTCAGAAGTGCAAGAGTTGTTTTTGCGGTCGGGACCCTTGGGACAACAGTACCGCTTTTTCAGAAACCCCGCCCGCCCCACGTTGCCCTGACCCATTGTCCGAACATCAGAACTGCCGAATCATAGACGGTAGTTGAAAGCCTTTAATGTCTATAAATGGACTCCTAGCGAAAACATCACGCTAGCATGCAAAACTTTTGGCGTACAACCTAGCCATCACCTTCAGCTAGACAATTTGGCCATTTTTACCGGGACGGCGAAGTACTCCTGCCACGCTTATTAGAGCGTTATTCTGCCGGCAGCCTGAAAGGCGGTCCAACGCATGCGCACAGACACTGCAACGCGCTAAGCCGCACCGCACCTCTCTACTCATGCGCCTACCCGCATGCTGCATGCCGTTGGCTACATAACATGCTGCTCACCCCTTCCTCAATTCTTGGGTCCTAGCGCCCTACGAGAAGTATATATGTCACGTTGCGCGACTCCGTTCATCTCGCACTCCTCTTCCATTCATTCGGCATCTGATCCTGAGTACCCTCTCTATATCAGCGATCCTTTGTTCATTGCTCTGCTCCATTCGCCGTCCTCTCTTCCTCAGCTTCTGACCTGATCCATACCTTTTCGCTAAAAGAACATGGCTACCACTTCAACTTCCGCCAGCTCCACAGTTGCCCCAGAGCCTCAGTAAGTACAAATCGTTTCACCAGAGCTGCTCTCAGATTGACAGATGTTACAGGTACGAGAGTGACTTCGCTTCGGACGAAGACTTCCAGCACAAGAGAAGCCGCCTCGAAAAGCTCAAATCCGACAATCAACGACATAAGGCTAGGGTGGCTGAGTTGAGACGGCAGCGAAAGGAGAGGGCGCGCAGGAGGTTGCAACTACAGATCCGACAACAGGAATTGTTGAACCATCATTCTCAGATGGAGCTTGACGCCGAAGTGGCCAAAGCCCAACTGCAGGATGATGATGACCTGACCGAGACAGAAGCCGAGGTTTCGAGGGAGATGGAGGTCTACGGGCTTGCTGATCCGGATGATAGCTCGGACGAAGAGTGTGTTGCTGTCGTGGGACCCCAAATTAGCGAACGGAGCCATCAGGTACAGCCGCAAACCTCTACCCTCAGCCTTTGTGAAAATAATGTCAACGACAACTCGACTGTTCGAACTGACAGATTATCCTGGACAGCAGCGGAGAGGGACAGCAGCCAGCCAGAGCACACCTCACATGTCTCGGCGAGCCCGCCTGTCCGCTCAGTAGAGTGGGACATCTTGCCAGCTTGTCGGTCACGTCCTACCGCGCCACTGCCGTCGATACCAGATTCTGATCCATATTCAGATGCCCCCAGTCAAACGCGTTCACCAGCACCTCAACCACCTATATATGAAGGCGAAAATGATACAACTGAAGATTTATGGGACGAAAGCGGCGAGAATTCAAGCGAGGAGGGCGCAGTTCCATTCCCACAAAGGCAGCCCCTCGAAACTCGAAAATATGCTTCACAAAAGGGCGTTGTAACAAAAGTTTTCCCAGACGCCAAATATCTTGACGAAGCGAGCCTACGTCTAGTACTTGGAAATTTCTTGGAATACCCCGCCGTTCAAGTCTTCATTAACCTTCTGGAGCCTGCCCTGCAAATGTTCATGGTCCAAGACCTGAAGGCAACAATGGAAAAGCACTGCGACACCTGGAAAGACTTTGATAGGCTATTATCCAGGCTGATTCCTATGGCCACCGAATGGAATGTCAAGGAACATCTCAATCCGATGCAACCGCGTCCGACGCGCTCCACAGCCAGAGCGCGGGTCACACTCTCTTGGAACAACTTTCACCACGACGGCTCGCCACAGAAAACCAGCGTCTTTCCAGATTCCCACGTCACAAGCTTCAATTACACCAGAATACTTACGGACACCAGCGGCAGAAGGGTCGACCCGAGCCCCATCTTCAAGGCATTCCTACGCACAAAGCACGCCACTGCTGACCCTTGCATCATGCACCGACAACTTATAGTCCTCAGATGCAACCCCACAGATGAGTGCTCTGGATGCAGCGCTCGCTTGAGTGACTTCCTAAATCCCAAATTCCCCGTTGACTACCACAACAACATTGACGACGCGCACATGAGACGAGAAATGAAGAAAGGCAAGGTCGGAGTCAAAGCTATCTGGGGTGACTGAGGAATCTGCAACGGACATGGAGTTCTTTGGCACAAAAGTGTTTGATCCTGGTGGGAATGTATTTCCTGATGTTCCTTTATATTGAAGTCATATTTTTGATCTCTAAGAAGGCTCTAGAAAAAAATGGGAAATTAATCTCTATCGCTCTTTCTATGTACCAGAATTACACCTAAAAAAAAGAAAATAGAAGTTAGAGAACTCGAACAACACAAAGTGATACGCATCAACCAGGCTGCAACTCCAACAATTTCTTGCCACAACCCCGGCACCGTTCATTGGGCTTGGGACTCGCTTCCTTCAGAACATCCAGCCTATGAATACAACAAGGATCACTCAGAGCAATTCTCAACCTCAGGAATGCCTTCATGGTCGGCCTGAGGTCTGAGCAATAACTGTCGAACTTCCTTGCACCACCGAAGGGCTGGGGCAGCATCGCCACCTCTTCAGGAACGTCAGGGTGCGGCTCACCGTGGATGTAGTAGAAGTTCCATTTGTACTTTGAGTACATCACTGAGGTCCGCTCCATCCGGCTCACTTGATCAACCTCGCGGACCAAAGCGCTGAAATTGAAGCATCCGCGAAAGCGTTGAATGAGTAAGCTGTAAGACTCGCGGGCGCCTTTGTTCCGGTCTAGCACGTCACGCAGGACCTCGAGGATCTCGCGGCGCAGTACGGGCTGGAAGCGGTTGAGGAACACCTGCACCACTACGAGTTTGATGTTGTCTGGCCCGATTATTCGCCCAATCGCGTCTTCGGTCATGCTGGTGCGCTGAAGAGGATTGTCGGAATTTGGTGACGATTTCACCGACCTACTGGTCTCGGAGTTGGGTCTCGATGCTGTGATTGGCGTGATCGAGTCGCTGGAATCCCTTCCTTGGCTGAGATCGGCGTGGTGGTTGGTCTCGCTGGCGCTGACGCTGCAGCCGTGGCTGAGGGAGCGTTCGTCGACCGCGCTCTGCCTAGTGCCGTTAGCGCTGAGCTTTGGAGCTTTTCGGTCTATTACTGTTAGGGGTAACTTTTTGAATGCCCTGGCGAACGGATCGTACCTGGTATTATCTGAAGCGGGATTCGCAGCGGATCCTGCGTCTTTGTCCTCTTCGCTGTCGACTTCCGATGCACCCCGCGCAGCTCTCAGCTCATCCCTCTTCTTCTTTCGCTCTCTTTCTTTTCTCAACAGCACGTCCCCCGCCCTCTTGCACCGGCTAGCCAGAAGCTTCTGCTCTTCAATTTTCACATCCTTATCAGCCATTTCAGCATGATACCAACACTGGTGGCCCCAGGAGACCAACTTTCGATTCTTCTCCCGCAGGTCTTCAAGCTCTCGGTCTTTTTTCTTCAATTGCTGTTCCATGTCACGGATCATGCTCGAGTCAAGGACATCATTTATATTTCTGGTATGCCAAATCAACTTCTGGGACATATATGCATACTTTTTGACCAAATACCACTTACCCGAAAATGTCCAACTCAGGTGTTGGCGTGCCTCTATCAACATGAGGTCTATCACCCACATCACCGGGAACAGGAGTAATCACCCTGGGAGTCTGCGCGGGAGCACGGACAGACTTAGTTGAAGAAGGCATGGCTCAACGTCTCGAGGGATCCAAAGCTTGCTTTCGAAAAAGGTGAGAGAAAGAATGAAGTGATCAGGTATGGATTCCTCTAGTCTTGGGGAGTAGTAGGCTGAGCAGCGAGGAGCAAGAGTGGGGAGGCTTATAAGGAATCGTTGCTACGGGCAGCAGCGGATAAAGAGCACAGTCTCAACCATGCATGCTCTGCGCAGCTAACCGAACCGGATCGCTTGCCTGGCAATCAAGCAGCGTTCCGCACCTGCAAACAGACTCAGAGTACTGCTAAAAGCTAGACTCTGAAGAGCTGCTGTGCTTTCGCAGCTTTCCGCCCCTCCTGTCGCTAATAATTGCCTTATAGCTCGGTTAGGACGCACAACCAAGCGGCTCAACAGGGGCAGCCTGTCATTATGGAAACAAAAAGAAGCACAGAAGAGACATCTGATCTGTAGATGCTGAGCGAAAGCTGGAAATGGGACGGATCACCAGCTACCAGCGCCCACAGCTACGTACAGGCTCTGCAGGGCAGGAAGCCCGAGTTATGCCACACCGGCCGCCTGCTTTTACCTACATATGGAGCAAACAGAATTCAAGAGTGCGGCCTCCTGCATTGCGACAAAACAGGAAGCACTAATGTCTTGGGAATGTGACCGTCCGAGAGGAGGTGAAGTTTTGCAAGTTTCGATCGGGAGACCCAGAAATTGGTAGCGCAGGAGACGAACGGCGAGCCTGCAGTGGCAATTACTGGTCAGCCGAATCTGAAATCTCTCGCAAGCACTCAACCGAGCAGACTAGAATGACCGTACTGAGCACCCACCAGTTGGCTGCCACATTTTCTCCCGCATTTTGGGCCAGTTGCACAGGGTGAACAGGGATGTCATGGATCTCGGATCGAAACGAGAGAGCTGCACGTCAACGATGGCTACCCGCAGATGGGGCCATTAGCACCTGCATACAGATTGTATCAGCACGGATACTAGCTGCAATTATTTGAGTCAGCGTTATGCTTTTAGCATGCCGCAATAACTTTATCAAAAACTACTTGGCTTTTGTAACACATCTGTAGAGAGCCGTGCCCAACCTTCCGTAGAAGACTTGGTAGGTGCATAAAACAGACGTTCCTGACTTCGTGGTCCAGATGTCGCTGAGGAAGCTTCCCGGTTGTACAGAGGGTGAAGTATCGTGGTTTCATCTTATGCACGCAGCACGGTTCCGCTAGCCTACCACTCCCCAAAAGCAGCCACGTTCAACGCACCTAAGCTATCATTCCAGAGAAAGAAAAACGTCGAAGCCCTTTCTCCCATTATCTCTCGGCCTACCGCTTGTCTTTCACGACTGCCAAGAATGTATATACTTGCGCGTTTCGTTTGTTGGGCATATTGTCTGATCCAGCATGCGTCTGTTACCTGCTCGCTTAACATGAAGGCTAATGAATCCCTGCATCCCCACAAGCTTGGAAACCCTGCCACATGATGATCGTCCTCAATGAAACCATGGGCTCGAATGTAGACATCCGAGACATGTCAATTGAATGCGAGGCAGATACCCATCCTGTGCAACAAACTATCATTACGATCCTCGTGCTACTTGGAATAGCTTGGCGCATTCCCCCAGGGTTGAAGCGGGATGCCCGTCGGTAGTGTCTGTGGGGGATGTGGTTACCGAACCAAACGAGAGAGTGAAATGTTGCAATGTATGGAAGCGGACCTTTGCATCTTTGCAGCGGAATTTCTCAAAAGTCTACGCATCAGAATGGTTGTAGAGCGGGGACGACGGCGATGGTGGCGGGGACGGCTGTCTAGCGCTGGTTCATTAGGGCGGCATACTGTCATACACCGTTCCGTTTCTGCGTCCACACTGGAGATAGTCATCCCAGCCATGGACTAAAGCTGACCAAAGCAGGTTTGCTGAACAGCTGAAGCAAGAGACCTTGCGCTAACCTCTTAAAATCTTTCCGCAAGTTCATCGCTGTTTCTCCTGTACATGAAGGCTTAATAACAGGGGACTGATGTCGTAACAGTAATTGAGCATTGCATGGGAAGCAGGGCTAAAGAAGAATTTAAGGATTTATATTGTAAGGAGAAAGAGAGGGTGTTTCGTTCTTCCAAGTCTTTTCTCTAGAGAAGAAAAAAAGATCGCCAGCGAAAAGTAAAGTGTAGTGCAGCACAAAGAGTCCTGGTTTTGCAGAGGATGCTCATTCTTCAACATCCAACGCCCGAAGATGGACAATGTCTATACCTGGGGTGTACGAGTACTCCAATACAACAAGCATGCATAACGCTTCCAGACGAGATAATGGTTGAAGGTGATTTTCGATAAGACGGCGTTCAATATCGCCGTAACTGTAGAATAGAACCGCAAAAGAGACTCGCATCCGAAGCCGAGGCTAGTCGAAAAAAGAAAAAAAAAGCACTTCAAGGCAGTCACTTCCTGCACCCCACGATGATGCATACAGGGAATAGCCACCACATCCGCCATAACAGTTCCAGCAGATGCTGCTGGATGGACTGGGATACACCAGACGGGCAAAACAAAAGAAGAACAGGTTGGTCACTACGAGGGTCGAACTCGCGACCTTGGCGTTAACTCTTAGTCCTCTGGGAGGATTGCCAATATTAGCACCACGCTCTAACCAACTGAGCTAAGCGACCTGCTAGTAACACAAAGCGCCCTTTGTGCTGGGTAATTGGAAAGGGTGGTGGCTCCGGGAACTTGTATCGTGAGGACTGAAGCTGAGAACGAGCTTTGGCCGAGCCATTTGCAGCTATCATGTGCTTGGAGACCTGGGGTATGGAAGCAAGAAAGGCAGAAACAGGTTGGAAGGTGATCAGGAGTGTGTCAAATGGTGGAGGAAGACTGAAAGTAAGAATGCAATGGAAGAATAGCCGAAGGCCTCAACGCTGCAAGGGAGTGGTTGTCAGGATCGAATGGACTCCCGAAAGCATGGCAATTACTGGAAACTTTTCTCAGGTTAGGTAGAAAGAATATCCGAGCTCCGGGCGAAACTTTGTGAAACAAATGTCCAATAAAAGGTGAGGAAGAGGCCAGCTTTCGCCAGAAACCGATCTGAATTTCGAAAGTGCTCCCTGGGTTGGGGAGCCTAAGATTATGAACATAGGGGTAATCGAAGGGAAAGGAAACAGCCGTACCGACGCCTTTGCTATGCACTCTTTCAGAAGAAGCGCCACCAAATAAACACGATCATGATGAAGGCGATGCCGCCGACGGGACCGTACTACCACCATGTTAGCATAATCTGGTTCCAACAATTTACCAGCCTTGAACAGTCGTACCTGGCGCAACAACAGTTCCCAATTGATCCTGACAGCTGCCTTGCGGTATTTTCGGCTGTCCTCGCGGAGCCGACTGCTCATATCTCCCATGCGCTCCAGACTGTCTCCTCTGTAGAGCAGATCCTCAATGTTCTTTGTCATGACCTTGGTGACATCCTTCAGCTCATCGTTCAGCTTGTCCAAGTTCTGGGTGGCTCTGCTGTCCTGGTACGTCTTCTTGGTTCGCTGGATGAAGGTGTCGAACTCGACGAAGGCATAAGGGCGGCAGGTAGCGGCGAGGTACTGTTGCGAGGGGTAGGTGGTGGTGAATTCCTGCTTGATGTCGGACAGGAAGACAAAGGCAAGCTTTCGGGGGTAAGAGCGGTCGCAGATGCAGAGGAAGATAAGAGCATCGTCGATGAGGTAGCTGCGGGGAGGCGCGGTCAGTCGGGGCTTGGAGGGTGGGGTGGGGCGCGCATACTGGATGGTGTATTGGCCGCCTTCAATGCTGGCCTGCGGCTCAGAGTTGCGGTTCACCCGGCGGAGGATCTGCTTGACCTTGCCCTTGATTTCGACGAGCTCGGATTCCGACTGTGACGGCGTAGGCGAGTTAGCGCGAGGCGCGGAAGTGCGGGGACAGGAGGGAGGTGCACCTGTTCATCGTCGACGGAGGCGGCCAAAATCAGGCCTGCGTTGAGTCAGTATGCGCGTTCGCAAGGAGGCGGCGTTCTGGAGATCGGCGGGGGAGCTTTGTGGTGGACATGTGTCCTTCGGGGGGCGGCGCACCGTCTAGGCGCGCTATTTGCGTGGACCGGATCATGCTGGCGCTGGGTGAGGCTTGAAGAGCGCGTCAACAGCCGGGCGAGGAACAGGTAGAAAGTGGCTTTTATTGTTGAGGAACGTCGCGGGCGCAATGGTTAGAAGTCGTTGGTCGGGAGAGGACAGCGTGACGCTCGGATCCCTCTCCCATGGAGCAACGTCACAAGCAACCAGGGTGCGCTTTCTGCTGCCTGCAAATCGTGCCGTGTCAAAAATTTATCGCGCATGGTTACCGAGTCTGCCTGCACCTTGTTAATGGTAAAAGTGAAGCTGTGAAGCCGCCAGGACGATTTAGGAACGGTGACGGCGGATGGAGAGCTTGCAGAGCTGCGCGTTTGACAAGCTTGGCGCGTCTTTCACGTCGCCGCAGCTCGCGTCCGACGCACATCACTAAACACTCCGACCCATGGAATCTTAGGATCGCCATCGGCGCTTGCAATCTGAGAAAACTAACTTTTCATGTTCCCAGGAATCAGCGCGCAGCTGTAGCGATAAGGAATCCCGCGGACGGATAGGTGGAACCGCCGAAAGTATCGCCTCGAAGGCCAGAATTGGCTAACTGTGGGTTGCCAAAGGGCAATGCACACGTCTCGCTGAGACTTTGCATGTCGTGCTTGTGCATTTCACCCATCAGCAACAAAAACACGTGACGTCATTCTTCCAGCCATTACTGGGCCTGCCATGGACGCCAAGGGGGATCTGCAACCCCGAAAAGACGACCAAGCTGAGAGTGGGAAGCAAGAGCTGGTAGTTATGGATGTTGAAGACGCGACAGCTCTCCCAGAAGCGGATATCATGGCTGGACGCAACGTCTCGAGCAAGGACGCCGAGCAATCTCCCACTGCCGGAAGGGATCAAAGAGAAGAAGCACAGAACCAGAGAGAAGGCGATGGCGCTCCATCAAACGTGCCCGGAAGGAGCTCAGAAGCCCATTTGTACGCTGGAAATGAGAACAACGGAGATGCTGCACCACACCGCCCGACAGAACCCACGGCGACCGGCGGCAAGCCTGAAGGACTGCTGGACCATGACACTATTGCCGTTGAACCTCCAAATACTGCGCATGGATCGGTCGAGAACGGTGCTATCGAGGTAAAACCACCTTCCGACGGTGACGGGAACCCCGACGTGGTCATGACCGACGTCACCCAACCTTCGAATGAAGAAGCTGCCACTGGCTCTGACCCTTTCGTCTTGCACCAACCACGCAAAAGACCCGCGCCGACGCAAAGCAAAGAAGAACCTGCACCTCCACCATCACCGGGAAGTGACAAAAGAAAACACAGCCCACCTCCGATTGTCGAGAAGGATTCCGCACAAGATACCGCCATGGCCGACGCCCCAACAGAACCAACACGCCGATCCGGTCGGCGCACGACTCGCAGAACTTATCGAGAGGAGGACAGCGACGCCGAATTCGATCCTGCACCAACACCTCCTTCTAAGAAAATGACTCCCGCCTCGGTATCCGAGTCCAAGCGTGGCGGAAACAGCCGTATCTGGAAGCCCGACTACCTTCTCCAGGACCCGAAATCCAAATTGGCAAAGGTCGATGTCACGGTATGTTTTCCGGACGCTACGGCTCACTTCACCCTACTGACACGCTGTAGACTATCCTCAAAGATCCTCGCGCCTGGACTTCGCTCAGCCCAGCGCAGCAGTCCAAAATCATCTCTTTGCTTCCTAATGCGCCGGCTCTTGCCCCGGACCCCGCCGACCCCACTGCTTCCCTCCCCAACATCCCACAGCAGATGCTCGCCTGCAACGATGCCTTCCGCGCCGACATCTCCCTGTTCCAGGAAGACCTTAGTGAAGGCCGCCTCGATCCCGACTGGCAGCATGACTGCCTGGTGGCAATGGAGAAACGGGCACGCGGAGAGTTTGACGAGTGGAAGGAGAGGGAGATGGAGGCTTTCTGGGGCCAGAAGCAGAAACTGAGCTACGACGTGATTGCGGGCGAGAGTAGTAAGGTCAAGCTCGAGACGCTCATCGAGGCGGGCTGCTGGGAGGTCAGAGATGTCTGGGTGTATACGCGATGCTTTGGCAAGGGCAAGAATACGATCAAGATTGAGAAGGAGGCCACGGTAAGCTTTCGGTATCTTGTGGTGGTTTATCGCTGTTTGCTCACTCCGCGGCAGATCACTTCCATCACCGAGGACCACCGGATCACATTTCGTTTCCCAGATGGCCAGCGCAAATTCAGCTCAGCGAGCGCGGGCGAAGATATCGAGACGGAACCGCTGAGCAGTGTACAGCAGCTTGCTGACAAGTGTATTGAGACTGACGGCCGCATTAGCACCTGGCGTCCGGTAAATGCATGGAAGGAGATTCGATGCTTCCGCAAGAATCAGGATATTGGCTCGCCGTGGGAGATTCGTGAGGTCTTCTGGGCTAGGCAGCAGGGATGTGAAGGGGCATAAGTGTTAGGCGTTGAGGATGGTCTGCATTACCACTGGCGTTTTGGATGGTTCACGACAGAAATCATGGAGCGATACTCCACAAGAAGTGATCATTGCTGGAATGATAGACTCAGTCGATATCACATAGAAATTGCAATTTTCGCTAGCCTTTGGCGCTGGTTAGAGGGTCTCCTAACTTCTATCGACACTTTCCTCAGACATCGTCTATATTCCAGGCTGGAAGTTGTGCTCTGGGTGAGCCTCAAGCGCCAAGCGGTTGACATCATCGCACGCACCCGGCGAAACGACACCCCTCAACACCAAAAAATTGCACCGAACTTCTTCCGGCCAGCGCCCAAACTCGTCATCGCTCTCGACGAACGTGGACGTCTAACTAGGGACCGTCTTGCCCGTTCCTCAGTCATGTCGGCCGCGAAGCAGATGCAACACCGCCGCGCGCATAATCTCCTGCTCATCTCAAAGCTCCTTAATTGTCGGGAAAATGCGTCACCATTCACCTTGATCCTTGATTCGTTGGAGCAGTCTGGAAAGGGCTTGGTGAGGGAGTTCATCAGGCGAGCGAATGTGAGACTACACACCCGCTTTTCTCTGGGACATACGCTAATTGACATTCCCCAGGCTGCAAAAACGCGCGTAGTCTTCGTATCTTTCGAAACGCTCAAGAAGCCCAAAGGCGTCGACGTCTTCATCGCAGCCTCTAGAAAGGATCCCTCTTCCCTGCAAAAAGAGCTTTCCAAACTCGCCGCCGAGTCAACCGCCCGCCAGAGTATGCTCCTCAAGATCTACCCTCTGCCCACCGAGCCAACGGCTAACCACCGCCGCCACAGAAACCCTTCTCATCCTCGACACCCTCCACCCACTAACCTCGCACCCCAGCACCTCTCTCACTCTCCCCCAATTCCTGTCTTCCCTACTCTCCCCATCCACCTCTCTCCTCGCCACCTACCACGTCGACATCCCCCTTCCCGCCCATGCCAACGCCAATCTCTACGCGCCCCACCCCCTCACGCTCCTCAGATACATCGCCACCACTCTCCTCACCCTGCACGCACTGCCACACGTGCTCGCTGCCAAGGCCGCCCAGGACCGCAGCGTGGCGGCGCCGGTCTTCGGGCTGGCGGAGGAGATTGAAGGCGTGGTAGCGGGGATGGGGCGGAACGGGTGGGGCGCTGTTGCTCACGCACGCAAGGATGGGGATTCTGCTGCTGCCACAGCGGCGGCGGCGGCGTTGGGAAGGGGCGTGGTGGTGGAGATGGAGTACAGGCGGAAGTCCGGGCGAGGGGTGCGGGAGTGGTATTTCGTGCCTACCGCCAGTGCTGCTGCGAAGCCGGCGAATGGGGTGAGGGAGACGGTGATTCTGTTGGAGGATCATCCGCTGTATAGGCATGTGCCTGGAGCGGCGGGTGCGGTGGGTGATGCGCAGGATGAGATGGATACGACGTTCAGCTTGGGCCTCACGGAGAAGCAGAGGAGGGATAGGGAGGGCGTGGTGCTGCCATATTTCGATGCTCAGAGGGAAGATGGCGGACCTGGAGAGGGAGGGCGGATTCTGTATGATATGGGCGTGGAGGATGATTTTGACGAAGAGGAGGATGAGATTTGAGCCACTTATAAATCTAGAATCAGTACTTTGTCCAAGTCTAGCGGGACGCCGCTTCTTCGAACGTCATTTGCGAATATCGAGCGGCATCAGCATGAGCTGGCGAAACGGATGCCTCAGGCAGAGAGCCCGATCGTCGCGCGCGATGGTCCGTGCGCAGCGGCCCGCCGACCGCCTTCATTCGTTTCTGAAGCTCTTCGTCCTATCCTCTCCCCAACTTCAAAGGCCCGCCCGGCCAACGCACCCGCCCTCGCACACAGACTCGTCCGAAGTCACGCGCCATCTCTTCCTACTCGTCGCCTTTCGATAATCCTCCCCGCAGCGGCCAAATCCCCAGTCACTCGGGCCTTCAAACTTCGCGAACTCGACGACGCAGCCTGCTCATCGACCGAATCCTCGCGCCTTCCTTCCTCTGTCACACACACAATCACAGAGGGACACCGTCCGCGCGGAGGAGCACACACGCACATACACAGCAAAGATGCCTGAGCCGCCAGCCTCCAAGCGCTCGCGCCGCCCGGACTCGGCGCAGATGTGGGACGACGACGACCGCGGCAAGCAGCAACATTCGCGACGAGGCGGCGGTGGTGGTGCGCGTCACCGGTCGCGATCGCCGAGGGACCGCGACCACGAGGGCGGTGGCGGACACAACAGGCGCGGTGGACGGAGAGACAGGAGCGGCAGCAGGGAGAGGGGTGGAAGAAGGAGAGGTCCGTTGAACAAGCCCGTTTTTCTGTGTCGGTTTTAACTTTGTGCAGATGATCGCGCGCGCTCGCGCTCGCCGAGACCGAGTGATGGCAATGTGCGCCGCCGCTCTCCCCCGAGGGGACCACGCGGACCGCCCCCGGCAGCCACAACGAACGGAGCGAAGAAGGGCGGCGCTGCTGCTGCTGCGGCTACAGAGCTGCCACCTACGGCTGGCCGAACGCAGCCCAGCTCGCGAGAGTGGACGCGTCGGGTACAGTCTCGAATTGGGACTTCCGTTGCTGGTGGAATGACAAATGGTGACAAGGACGGCAATGATATGGACGTGGATGGAGGAGCCGGTGCGGTGGACCCGGAAACCAGGGAGATGGAGCGATTGATGGGCTTCTCGAGCTTCAGCAGCACCCACAACACCAAGGTTCCCGGCAACGACAGGAATTACGCCGTCAGGAAGGAGAAGAAGACGGAGTACAGGCAGTACATGAACCGTGTTGGTGGTTTCAACAGGCCCCTCAGCCCGTCGAGATAGTTGGGTATGAATGGGGAAAAGAACGTCCTAGGCTGAATGGATGGATAGACAGCGGTGGCAATGGCATAGCATTGGCGTTGGTGGGGATTAGCTCTAATTTCTTTTTCTTGGAGCTGGAAATTGCCCTTCCTGGCTGCGATGGTTAAGGATTGGAAAGTTTATGGGGTTCTGGCGGAAAGCTTGGAACTGCGAATTCTCGGCGCCCGCAAGGCATTGATACCAATTAAAAGCTTGTAGCATTTCTATACTTTTTCGAGGACTTTTGGGAAGACTGAAAGACGTTGATTGGATGCCTTCTACCATTGCACCGATTCAAGCCCGTCCACAAAGTGGTGTTCTCTATGTCGGCGGACAGAGGAAATCGCCGGGTTTTTGCGGTGTGCGGAAGTGTGGCCGGGGCAGCTCTGAAGCTCTGGCGTGCGTCAGGGCGCCACGTCTCCCACTTCGCGTCGACCGCTCCTCGGGCCGCGCAAGCTGTCGTCTCCGTCAACAACCTCTTTTCCAGGAGCCGACCACTCCGATATCGAGACCAAAATACCCGCCAATTGAGATTGTTCACCCACCATGCGCCCACTCAAACCGTCGTCCGCCGGGCGACGGGGCGGCGTCGCCCAGAATTCCTTCAGCGCCGCCGCAACCAGCTTCTTCGCCGTCGCCGTTGCTGCTTTCTTGCTGCTAAGCCCAGCCGGTGCTCGCGCCGAGTCAGGCGATGAGAGGAGCGAGGTTGTCCAGCAGATTGAGCGCGCCTCCAATGAGAGCTTGCTATGGGGCCCGTACAAGCCGAACCTGTACTTTGGCGTGCGTCCGCGTATCCCTAAGAGCTTGGCTGCTGGTCTGCTATGGAGCAGGGTGGAGGATTACAGGACGGTTCAGGACAGTGCGTTTCCTCCATTTGCCTACCTTGTTCTACCTCAATTGGCAATGATAGAGCGGGGAAGGCTACCACCGTAGTACAAGATCAGGCCGGCTGATATGACTTCCTTCCAGACTTCCGCCACACATGCGAGCAGCACGAAGGCATGGCCGGCTACGGCTGGGACGAGTACGACCCGCGCACCGGCGGCAAGCAGACGATCCACGACGCCGGCAACCAGATCGACATCACGACCGAGTTCGTCAAGGTGCCCGGCGGCGAGCACGGCGGCAGCTGGGGCCTCCGCGTCAAGGGCAACCCGCGCGATGACGCCCCGGACAACCTCAAGTCGACCGTCGTCTTCTACGCCACGCTCGAGGGCCTCGGCAGCCTCGAGGTGCCCACCGAAGCCGCCGACGAAGAGGGCCTGGGCCGCGATGGCGACGTCGAGATCCAGGGCCAGAGCCAGGGCCTCGGTGCCTACACGATCAAGGTCACCAAGGGCAAGGGAGAGCATCCCGAGGAGCGCCACGAGGCTTGGGCCGAGAAGCCGCTGGATAAGACGTTCGTCACTAGCGCCCAGCTGCCCGACAATGCCATGTGGCAGATCAAGGCTGTGCTGTTTGCTGCTATCAAGCAGACGGTTGATGCTTTTGTGGCTCAGTTCGGAGAGGAGCAGAATATGCCTCCGCCCGAGATGGTTTACACCATCGCGCATAAGCCGGGTATGGGCAACTTGCATTTCGTGCAGAAGGTTTTCGAGGGTCCTTTCGAGGTCAGTGTGGAGTTTTGAAATGGCTGGATTTGGGATGCTGACATATTACAGTTTGATGTTCTCTTCTCTTCCGCGTCTGCTCCGAAGCCTATCACCTGTAAGCCGTTCCTTCGCCGTCAGTAGTACATGTACTGACCTGATTCCAGCCGAGGACTTGACCCAGGAGATCGAAGCCACCACCACTGCCTTCTCTAAGCGCTACAATGAAGTCTTGAAGCCCCAAGCTCCTTTCAACAACGAAAAGTACAACGAGTTCTCGAAGTCGCTATTCTCCAACCTTGTTGGTGGCATTGGCTACTTCTACGGTGATTCCCGCGTCGACCGCTCCTATGCTCCGGAGTACGAGGAGGAGAATGAGGGCTTTTGGGAGGAGGCTGCCGAGGCTCAAGCCAGGAACAAGCCCGAGCTCGAGGGTCCCTATGAACTTTTCACCAGCATTCCCTCCAGGCCCTTCTTCCCGAGAGGTTTCCTGTGGGACGAGGGCTTCCACCTGATTCCGATTGTTGATTGGGATGTCGATCTCACTCTTCAGATCATCAAGAGCTGGTTCAACCTGATGGATGAGGATGGTTGGATTGCCCGCGAGCAGATTCTCGGTGCGGAAGCCCGTAGCAAGGTTCCGCCGGAGTTCCAGGTCCAGTACCCTCACTACGCCAACCCGCCCACCCTGTTCTTCATCGTTTCTGCTTTCATCGAGAAGCTGCAGGCTCAGGCCCCCACGGATGACTCCCAGCAGCCCATCGTTTCTGGCGAGCAGTACACGACGTACCTCAAGAACCGCGAGGCCGCTCTCCAGTATCTCCGCGATCTCTACCCGCTGCTGAAGCGCCACTACTTCTGGTTCCGCCGCACCCAGGCCGGCGACATCAAGTCATATGACCGTGAGGCCTTTAGCTCCAAGGAGGGCTACCGCTGGCGCGGCCGCACTCCCCGCCACATCCTGACGTCCGGCCTTGACGACTACCCTCGTGCCCAGCCGCCGCACCCCGGCGAGCTCCACGTCGATCTGATTGCGTGGGTCGGCATGATGACGCGCAACATCAAGGACATCGCCGCCTTCATCGGCGAGGAGGACGATGTGGCCGAGTTCGCCAAGTACGAGAATGCCATTATCCACAACATCGACGACCTGCACTGGAACAAGGAGGAGAAGATCCACTGCGATGCTACTATCGATGACTACGAGGAGAGCGTGCACGTCTGCCACAAGGGATACATCTCGCTCTTCCCTTGGGTGCTCGGCCTTGTCACGGATGAGGAGAAGGTTGGCAGCATTCTCGATCTTGTGGCTGATGAGGAGGAGATCTGGAGCCCCTACGGCATCAGGAGCTTGAGCAAGAAGGACGAGCTCTACGGCACGGATGAGAACTACTGGAGGAGCCCTGTCTGGATGTGCATCAACTACCTGGTGGTTGCACGCTTGTTGGTACGTTTTTCCCTTTTCCCTCTTCCCCATTCTTTGTCCGCTACGTCTTCGGAGTAGAAATAGACCTTGCTGACCCGCATTCTTCCAGGAAACCGCCCAATCCACTAGCCCGCACGCGAAGCGTGCCGCCAAGATGTACACTGAGCTCCGCAAGAACCTGGTCGAGACCGTCTACGAGAGCTGGAAGGAGACGGGCTTCGCGTGGGAGCAGTACAACCCCGAGACGGGCAAGGGCCAGCGCACCCAGCACTTCACCGGCTGGACCAGCTTGGTCGTCAAGATTATGACTTTCCCGGATGGCAAGGACTTGAAGGTCGGTGTCGCGCCGGCGAAGGAGAAGAAGGGTCATGATGAGTTGTAGATTTCCTGCGGCTTGTTGGTAAGATGGATCGAGGGGGGCCGTTCAGTCCCAGTTGGATGCGGAGATGATCATGATCATGAGTGTGAAAGATAAGAGGAGGGATCTTGTTGTATAGAGTTATAAAAAGTCATGGGAGGCTCTAAATGTATGTACGTATTTGATTACTGCAAACTTGTGTGCGTGCGTACTTGGTGTAGTGGGTGGTGCTTCGTTGAAGGTCGTTCGAGCTCTACTACAGCCTCAGACTGCATCAGACTGCATCAAGACGTCGGACATCCTGAGGTATTAAGCCTCCTGCTTCTGGCCCATCCTCATTGTCCATGGTCACTCTTTCACGAAGTAACAGTGGGTGCCGAAAGATCTGAGCCATCGTGATAATTTCTATCAGCATTAAAGCTCCGCTGCATGGGTGGTTGAAGCTACTATCCAGACGGAGATGTGCATTTGATAATTCAACATCCACGTCTAGACGATAACTTCAACTACCCACGTATGCCGAATAATTTACCATGGAGAAAGCTTCGGGTGATCATTTCTTTTGGGTCCGACGTGAAGATGACCCGCAACAGTCAGGATCGTCCCGACCCGTTGCTGCATGCTTTTCAACACAGCAGTGCGCTGGAAACTCGCCCAGCCGTCGCCATTCAACTGGAGAAAAATGTAAAATTTGCAAACTGACAGTCTCTTTGCCATCAACCATACAAATCCAAGCCGGCTTGGCGGGCCAGCTGGGCAAGGTAGCAGATGGCCGCCTCGCCGCCGCCGCCGCCTCCCCGGCCACGGCGGACGATGCGAATCCATTGTATGATATCCTCGCCCGCATGGTGCTGTAGGCGTGGCGCCCGCGCGGGGAGGCGCTGCTGCAGGAGGCAGAGGGATCCGGTGGTGGTGCGGATTGTGGCGAGGTTTAGAGAGAAGAAGATGGCGGAGGGCGTCGCGATGGAGGCGGGTCAGGTGCAGCAGCGGCGGCGGCAGTAGCAGCAGCATGGCGGCACGGCGGCTACTGAGGTGGTTGATGAGGGTGGGGTTTGGGGGCTCCGGTGGAATGATGTTTGGTATGGGTGGAACCGGGACTAGGCGGGTTTCCCAATGCTGGCTTGCTTGGGCAGTTTCCGTTGGACACTGGCATGGGTCAGATGAACTGGGACGCTGTGTGGATTGGGGATTCGGCGACGGCCTATCAGTGTGGAGAACCTCATGCCCGACGTCAAACAATTCCCCTGTCACTTGGCCCTAGTTCATCGCTAGAGCCAGAAATTATGAGCCCCGGCATTTGGGCTTGTTAGGTGAAGTGGCGGTCATCAAGGTACTGGGAATTTCACAGTGGGAATGAAAGGCTGCCTAGAGGACGGTGCGGGTGATATAGTGCGCTGCGGCCGCAGCGCAGCATGCGCCATGAGGTCTTGAAGCAATGGCTGCTTCGGCAAACGCGCCGGCAGCAACGAGTCAGGCTTAGAGAAATACAGAGCACGTGATGGGGTGCTGGGTGAGTGACGTCTTGCCGGGCGCACCGCTTGGGCAGCTCATAGTCGCGTCGCGGGCGCGCGGTGCTCCATCCTCTCTACACCCCACAACCTCACCCGCGCCACCACCCCGACGCACTATCCGCGATGGCGCGCTTACCACCTGGCAATCCAGACTCACGGGCTTCGGCCACTATCGCATCCTCTGGCGGCGGCGATCCGCCTAAGACGCCAAACCACAACAAGGGTGGCTCCGGCATGGGCCACTACAACGAACGCTATCGCGTCGGCAAGACATACAAGTCTACCGACCGGTACGTACTTCAGAGGCTCTACAAGCACATTCTCACATACTGATGCTAGAAACAGACGCTCCAAATACGAAGGAACCTGCTTTCGCTGCAAGAAGCCGCGTCATGGCAATGGTCGAGCAGCCGATTGCGAACGCGCTTGCGAGGCGTGCGGGAAATTCGAGCACTTTGGGACGTATTGTCCTGAATTTCAAACATCGTCCTCCTGGAAAAGACACGCTGGTGGCTACGTAGGCCAGACCAACCGCAACAAAAGCATCATCGAGGGTCAGGAAAAGGACCTTTCAAACACGCGAGCAGAGCGCGACGCAGCCCACGAAGATCTTGACACCGCGCAAGACGAGATCAAGACCCTAAAAGCCAAGGTTGACGACCGTGATCGCAAGATTGACAACCTTGAACGCGAAAACGGCGCTTTGCGAAATCACGCCGAAGAGATGGCCAGGCGCCTTTGGTCGTCGCAACAAGAGACAAATTACGCAGAAGCAGAAATTGCACGCCTTCGAGCGCAAATTCGCAATCAAAACGCCCCGCTGCCGCAGGCATGGGCCACCGATTATCCACCCGGACCGCCGCCACAGGATTTCCGCAATCCGCTTGGTCAACAGCAACAGCCTGACCAATCCCAAGTTCCGCAACAACATACGCCAGCCATAGCATACCAAGCTCACTCCGACCATGGCCAAACGCAAGCCGCACCGCTACATCAACGCGTGCCTCCTCAACCCGCACCCGGTCATGACCGTCAACGACAATGGCGTCCACGGACACCTCCACCCGCGGATACAAATACGCATGTCCCTCCATGGTCGGAGCCCGACAATGCTCACCAACAAAGTCAACGGGTCCTTCCCTTTCGCCAGAGGCAGGTTTCCCCACCGCGCCATTCGCAAGGCAACGCCTCACCTTCACACGCTTCGTTCCATCCGCCGAGCGGAGAACATCAAGACATGGCTCCACCGCAACTTGCCGGCTCAGGCTCGGGCCAGCCACGTGAAGATGATGATGGCCAGGAACGCTACAGACCCAAGCGTGGTTAAGAAACTCCTTGGAGTAGCTTCAGCATCTGAGTATTTCTCGTGCTGGAGGACCAACTCCAGCCGCTAAAATTCTTTCCCGCTAAATGATTAGCTTCAGCCTCTGGGTTATTTCCATGCTGGAGGACGCCTCAAGTCTTCACTCGGCACGCTCTCGGCCGGCTACAGTCTCTAAGTCTAATCTCACGGGCTGTGGGATCAGCTCTCGCCTCCGAATTTGTTCCATCCTGAAGGATTCCCCAAACTTCTTCTCACGCTCTTGGCCCGCTCCAGCCTCTGAATTCACTTCATGCTGAAGGATGCCTCACAACGCTGCTCCGCACACTCTTCGTGTGCTCCGCATTCTCCTGACACGCTCCAGCCTCTGGGTTTATCTCATGCTGAAGGATCACGCATTACCTTGAGAACAAAGTGCCCGGTTGTAACTGTTCGCCTCATACCAGTTGACCGGCACCAAATATCACTCAATGAGGACCTCCTCCGCTAATCAACCCTTACTGTGCTTAGTCACAATATGGGTCACGCTACACATCTTCAGTAGATGTATATAGATAATACATTAGTGTCGGCGAATCAACTCTTCAGTGACTCGCTGTAAATATCTGTTGTGCTCTTTGTTGTTCCTTGATCCATGTAGCCTACAAAGGTGGGCTGTTTGAGAGTTTCTCTCGACGTCCACCCCATCTATGCTACAAAATCGTCATTGTGATACACTACCAAAAGCATTTCGTCTTCTTGGTCATTACGAGGTCAAAGGCTATGCAGTCAAAAGTTGCCAGCACGGAAAGGCAGGTGGCTATTGAGAAGCTAAAAACGGTTTTATCTGCGTGAGGTCTCCAGCGAAGTAGTTGATCTGTATGCAAGGTGTAACCCGGGCTACTAGTGCCACACGTTTGAATTGATCAGCCACCGAATCTCCGAGGAAATACGTCATTGGCATGGAGAGTGAAGCCCAAACTTCTGGGACCACATCGACTATTCAATCACCCTTCGAAATCTGCATCAGCAGCGAAATGACCTTGCCCAGCAACAAAACGAAGAAGAAGCTACGCGGATGGAGCGGGATTTTAGGGTACTGGCCATTACGTGAAGATATGGGCTCCCCAAGTGAAAGGCAAATAATTGCACCAAGCCAATTCCTTGAGGCAAGTTCAGCTCGCTACCGAACAACCGAAATTGACCGCAACATGACCAATAACTGCCTGAAAATCCCCGTCGGTCTCGACTGTGGCATATATTTCTCTGGTATTAGTCACGTCACGTTCAATGAGGTCAGCATAGCCAAGATAGAGGTGATCGAGCACTGACCTAGAACCTCCGACACCGTTCATAAAGTCCCAACCAGGCTGGCCTAAGTATCTAAAACCAACAATATCATCGTTGGCAAGTGGGATTCACGGTCATTTCCGGCATAGAGTCCTATCTCTAGACCCCTCGGAAAGCAAAAAAGTTCACGCTAGCAAGTGGGCTTTGCGGTCACTCTTGGCATGGAATCGTACATCTGGGCAAAGCTTATTCTCTTTCACCTCTGCCACGCGTCATCAAAGGTCCCAATCAGAATAGTGTATGCCCTGGACATGGTGTGAGGCCCGCTCAGAAGAAGCATCAAGAGACGCATCCAAAAGCTTCCTCGCGACGTAAATGCAGCACACTTGACACACACTTTGCCGAAATATAGCCACATCCTGCAAAATATTCTGAACAATCCTATGGCCACTCGCCATGCGCTTTTTCGCGTCATATTTTCCGCTGCCTTAGACGCGCGTCATGTAATTTCTCACTTCAAACTCCTCCAAACTCAGTCGTACTTCATACGCTTTGTCACGTCAGGCGTTTTCTTGATTACGGGATTTTTGAATGAGTCGAGGATGGGAATAGGGAAACGTTTAGAATGTGGCATGGCTTGCGTGCAAGGGAAAGTATACTGGGTTTGATACACAAGTGGAAACATTTCACGATGCGGACTTTTCCTTTCGAGTTCTTTATCATATTTCCACCCCTCCACATGAGCACTCTCGTGATATTGAGCGGAAACTCAATCTTTGGCTTTATATCGGTATTCAACCAGTGGGCATGAGAATGAACACATGTTTGTAGAGGCGTGGAGGCATGTTGAAGCGGTAGGATTTTAAAGTAAAGGTGAGCAAGAATATATATACCCACGAGTCTTTAATTGATGATAATTAAAATACAGGGAAGAAAGAAAATCAGCCAGCCGAGCCCTCCAAAGCAGTGCCTGTCCGGGATGTGCTCTGCGCCGTTCATAACGGGGCGGACCCATGGTAAAACCATTCTCTTTGGCCCCCAGAGTAGGCCCCTTCGAATTCCGGAGGAATAGCTCTCTCATGGGGCCACACGTACTCCCTGGAGGAGACAGAACAAGGCGACGAGTTCGTTTGTCGGAGACTCCGTACGTTGTGCCTCGAACATGCTCGAACCAACCGCTGTAGCGGCTGGGGCCGTGGTGGGGGTTCGTGTAGTACTTGGCCCTCGGCGTTGAAGGGCCTCTTCCGTTGTTGTCGTCTCCACGGGGAGCAAGGTTCGGTTGAGCCATCCTCGGGCGCGTCAAACCGGTGAACGGCCTCGTGGGGCCGGGGCGAGGTAGCTCTGGGCGCGGGAGTTCTACACGGGCCCGAAGGCCAACCAAGGCTGGAGGCAGGTGTCCGCCAGCATCTGGAAAAGGTGTCAACAATTGTCGTGGGAAGACGATGAGAAAGACGGAGGCCAAACTTACGGATGTTGGCTGGGAAAACACCCTAGCCCTTTGCCATGAAGGCAAATGGAATGCGATCTCATGGTGTCAACACCGGCGGTGGCCTTTCCGTGGTATTAGATAAAGGCGATCGACATCTCCTTGTTGCGCTTCACCTTGATGTAGCAAGTGCCATGCTTGCTGAATTCGACCAATTGTTCTTCTTCAACTCTCGTCCCACAGTTGCTTGGGCATTCCTAGCATCAATCCTTTCGTGCGGTTGCAGCGGAGCGAGTTCATCGGGAGGGGACGGTTCGGGGCGGGATGGTGCCTTGAATCAGAGTTAGTTGAGCATCAGTCGACCGCTAATGGAGTGGCTACATACCCTTGAGATACCTGGGCAGCCACCCCGCCGGCAGTGGCAGGCGTCGGGAAGAAGGGCCTCCTCTGAGGAGAAAGTCAGTGTAATCTTCGAGAACTGGCACATAGGAGTGATGACATACAGCTGCCGCGGCATCGGCGGGTGGGCAGAATGCCCAAAGGGAACGACGCGAGAGGCGAAAGCCTGACGGGGACGGTGTGATTTTGTTGTGGAAGAAGAGGAGATAGAGAGAGAGAGAGAGAGAAATGCGAGCTTTAAAGGGCGGGGTAGAAGCGCGGGTAGTGCCTTCTAGGCTAGGAAGCAGCCGGCACCCGGCTTGCAGCGGCTACAGTGGCCAGCTCTGCCCACTTCAAGGGCAGGACTGACGACATTGTGGGTCCATGGTCCTGGATGGCGAAGGTGTGGACACCGCCAGGCTGACGCTGTTGCTCTTGCAAACATGACCATCTACAACACTTTGGGTGCTAGAGAGTATTGCTCAACTACAGCAAATGGGAACGATGTTTCTCGAGTCATTCACTAGGCATGATGAAGGACTCACATGCGTCTTTTAGCAACGCGTGAACCCTCTGCACGATGGGTATTACTTTCGTGAAGGGAGGCTCGAAATGCGCTTGAAACGAGTCTTGTGAAAGCAGCACCTCATGTACTCCTCACCAGCCAGGGGCCAGCGACTCTGCACTTCATCCTGGAAGCGCCTTTCTCGTTCTTTATATGCCCATAAGTCCGCGTACCGCTTCCTCCCAGTCGTCAGTTGGAGATGCGTGCCAGCGGCACAGAAGACATCACAATATACTATTTGTAATCACCACTCCGTCTGTCCTTTGTCCCCACACTCTCGAGTTCTTGAAGCCTTGGCAAGAGGTCCATGGCAGGGAAAGGAACTTGCTATCGTCAATACGGGCGTCACAATTGAGCAACAGTTTCCCCGCTGGCATTGTTACGAATCTCTCTTTTCTTGTTCTGTATGCGCGCCCGATTTGAGAAGTACGTAGTCTTCGTGATAAAAACGGTTTTCACCACTTGAGTGGCATTTGGTTTGCCTGTGGAAGTCGTCAATGTTTTTGGAATAGCGATGCAAAGTAGGCTTGGAGGGAGAGGGTACCAGCGACACGCGGACGGCTACACTTTAGCGCATCCATGTCTGGAACAGGGGTTCCGGCGGATCGTGCCATTCCTGAAAGGGTAGCTGTCAGTTACTGGGTTCCAGTAGCGCATGAGTGGGCCCGGTTTGATGTAGGGCATTGTTTGACAAGCAGTTTGATCCGATCGTATCGCAACAACGCCGAGCGACAATACACGAAGCTTTCTAGCTCTTTCATGGCGCGGGAAATTCCCGTGTTGTATTGGAAACCGTGAGAAGCTCAAAGGGCAAAGAGGCATGATCTAGCCGTCATTGAGTAGACGTGCCGCTCTCGCGTAGCCGTACGACAGGCCCCAGCCTAAGTAGGAAAGGACCTTGATTGGACGTGCAGAGTGAAATCTACTCTTTGACTACCATCCTCGTTGGCCGCATAGCCGTGCTCGCTCCCCTCGCCACCAGTGTGCTGGTACCTTTGTCCATCCATGTCGTAGTTTTTTGATGCGGGCGGAATGGCCAAGGGTCATGTCGTGAAACTTTTGAGGGGTTTGGAGAGAAGATAGCAGAGCTGAATTCAAAGACCTTAGAGGTAGGTTAGCATAGTATCGCTTGGATTTTCAGGTCAAGCCTACTCTCTACCTGCGAAACATTCCACCCAGAAGCTACTCTGGTGGGGCACAGGGCGGTTATTCACACTTTTTGTCTAGGGGGCAACAAATGCACGTTGCGTTTGGGCATCCATCTTGAAAGTTCCAGAAGGAGTTGAAGCATCTGCCAAATCCAGCCTCTGCAGCAGTGATCAAACCGGTGGATAATATGTAGGGACACTGGAGGTTTGGCGGAGACAGCATGCTGAGAGGATCAATCCGGTGGTCGAGGAAGAGGGCGGGAGTGTTTTGCGGCAAGCTGAGGCTGCGAAAAGCGCATGGAAGCTTGGTCAAGTGTGGCGTTGCTGGAAATGAGGGACGATGCGGTTCCGTCAGTCGGGAGGCATGAAACACGACCATCATGATCGACAAAGCAGTGAACTGTTCAGAGACCGCAAGTCAGCGGGGCTAGGAGCGTAGGGGAGAGACAAGTCTCGTTCGTCTGCTCCCAACTCATGGTCAGGAGTCGCGCGCCGGGGCCGAACTACCCGAAGAGGAAACGACCGGGGACGTGCACCTTGTTCGTCCTTTGGGTTAGCTGCCCAATAGTGTCTAAAAAAGACGATGGGGTGAGCGCAGTGCTGAGCAGGACGAAGGAGACGGTGAAGTTAGCTCGAAAATCATGTAGAAGGGGACTTTTTGCGCGTACCAGTTGCTGTAATCGCGCAAACTCGACCTTTGGTGTCATGCGAGTCAATAGCATGCAGTTTAATGCCGCGACAAGGGATGGGGTGCTGGCGGTCATTTTGGTAGAGGGCCAGTCGACCCGCCGCTTCGCCAGCAGCCGGGGTCCGTCTCAGCAGACGCTGACGTCACGCGAAACCCAGACTCATGCAGCGCGGCTTCGGGAAAAAGTCACCGCCAAACCGGCGCCAACAGCGAAGCTAAGACAGGCCCCCCACCTGGGCCTCTTAACCCCTCAAAATGCCAGATTTCCATGTCTTCAGGAGCGAGCCCTCGGTGAGCCTTTCTTTCCGCAAGCGCTGCGTTTGCTGACCATCTCCACAGCTTCTAGAACACACAGCCTCCCCAACTCGCCAGTGCAGCTCTTCGACCATTCGTGTGAGCCTGAATCCATCTCCGGCTCCCATCGCTGGGAAGACTGCAGTTGATCATGCCGAGACCACCAGAAAGTACGAATCAACACTTCTTATCGTTGAGGGCCAGAGGCTCTTCCCGGACGCGGTCCATTCCACCTTCGTACTACGCCTTCCCTCCAACAGCGCCATACTGCTCGTCCTTACTGCCATTCGTTGAAGAAGGCCCATGCGGAGAGGCCGAATGCGACGCCCAGCTCCAGTGGCACACGGTGCTGTTATCTCCACAAGTTGGCAAGAAAGAGGCGGAGTATTGGGTCGAGTAGCAAGAAACAACAACGCAAAGCTGTGCGAGGCGTGCAAATACGGCTTGGCTAGTGACCCATAATCGAACAAACTAGGAAAAATATGAGCGTTTGGCGCACCGGCGGCGAAGAATGGGAGATCGTAGATCGCCTTGATGCGGATGCCACGTTCGAAGCCAACAGTTGTGCAGACAATGCTATGCAGCGGATGAATATGCTGTGATAGTGCTCAGACACAAAGTGTCGGCCAGTCGGAATGCGATGGACATCAGTGATATTTTAAGCTACATTTTGTCGGAAGACAGGCGTCCACTCATTGCCAACCACCCGCTGACGATTACTTTCCTCAGCCTGTCCAAGAAAACAAGGCGTGCTGTCCAGGATGCGCTGGGTCATGTAAGGACCACAGGTGATCCCTCGGGGGCCGTAAAATCAGTTCAGGTATTGCTTCAGACTGAGAGAATCACTATCAGCACCAGAAAATGAGGTAATTTAGCGGAAGAAGCTTCAGTAAATCTGTAAGAAGGTCATCTTGTCAGATTACGTTCTAGCTAGCTAGAAATACTACTCCGCTGAAATCCATCAAGGTAGTACATACATATTGTGTCGGCGTCTCAATCCACCTTAAAACGCAACAACTTTATGAAAAATTCATTCATAGTCTCCGCGCTCTGTCTACTCCGCCGTAGATACACACCAGTGCGCACGAGTCTCCAGCGCTGTCGAGCTTGTCGATGGGCGAACGTTTCGCCCAGCCCTATTGTCCGCACTTATTCAGCGCTGGCAAGCAGCACGCCGAGCTCGAGAAGGTACGCAACCCGCCTCATGGTGGACGCCCGCCTTTCGGCCGTGGCGATGCCCGCTCCTTTTCTGGCGGTTGCACGATGCCCCCTCCAGACTACAAGCACAACACTCTCGGCATGGACGACCTCAGGAAGCTAAGAATGTCTTTGGTCACACTTCAAGCTCTGGTCCTGGCACTTTCAGACCTTCCTCACGGCAGCGGCCGCAGGAACCTCGGCCCTGGCAGTGGTTTGAACAGAACCAGCGACGACTCTGACAACTCCGCCTAGCTTCTTTTGTGGAGTAACCGTACTCTCAGCGCCCCAATTCGCGCCTGTAGCGACCGCACGATGTCTTGAGGTCATCGGCGCAGCGATTTGTGGCCCTGAGCTTCATGATGGGGCTGCAAAATCGAGATGCGTGGAGTTCTATCCCACAGGCGTCACCCCAGCGATTGTCATCCTCGCTGTGATCACCTTGATTTTCAGATGCGGGTACAAATCTCTCGATAGATAGGCGGGGCGCGTTGGAAAACGCGACAGCTGAGCTTGTCGGTGCGACGCGAGTCGCAGGCGGAGCGCAACAGTGGCTAACGCGTGGTGCGGGTCGCATCGCACGTGAAAGCGAGAAATAGTCACGGCGGAGGATCTAGTTAGGCTCATACTCAATGATCGCGGTGTCAGGCAGGTGCGCGCGGCCCATGGATGGAGTGGGACATGGTGTTGAGGCTCGCTGTTGCGCCTAACGCCTTGCATACGTTGGACTTTGGACATCGAACCACTGCCACAGCTAGCGAGACGGCGGCCATAAGAGGGCGGGTGACGGCCAGCGCAAGCGCGACAGCATGCGCAGCGAGGGCCTCAACACCAAGCGACACATAGTGCAGTTCACAGCCGCTGTGTGCGATCCTCGTTTGCTTCTGCCACTCAAGCTCATAAGCCAAATTTTCTTCTTCCTCAAGGATCTGCTCATGGCAGATCGCTCAACGAAAAAGATGGTCGCGTCAGCTCGAAGTAGTGCAATACGAGCGACACTGTGCTCTCGAGTATGAGCGGTGCTCAGAGGCCCGAGAGCGGGTTCCAAAAAGATGGGTATCATCAAATGTACCCCGGAGGGCGTTCAAGAGATTAATCTTGAAAGAACAGTTACTACACTTGATCTAAGCCAAAAGGAAGAAGAAAAGAGGAGCTTTCGTCGAGGAGTCGACCATATTTAAGCGTTGCCCGCCGCACCATCCAGCTACTCGGCATGGGTCGAGGTCGCGCCGGGCAACGGGCGTGACTGCGCCTTTTGGAACACCGCCCGGCGTATGATGCGCTTGCGGGCGCGGCTGCCTGGTACGCCGCGTCACGGGAACCCGAAAGAAGCGCAAGTGCCATGATCGAATGAGACGGAAGCTCATGTTGATGGCACAAGTCAGGCAGGAGTGATTTAGCGAGCTTTCAGAGGTTGCGCCGGGCGCCAGCAGCACTTTCGACCGCAGCCTTGAAGCGGCGGGCCTGCGTAGTTTCAGTGGTTGCATGAGTAATGTTCAGCGGGTCCTTTCACGTGCGTCAGGCTGGATGTAGTGAAAACACCGTCAAGTGATGTATCCGCGGGCCTCTGGATTGGGCGGGTGGCTTGAGAGGCATAGCATCAGAAGGAAGCAACCGCTCAGCAGATCGAGTCGCGGCAACCCTTGTGAATGCCTCTTCAGGCGGCTACTCCGTTGGCCATTCCTTCTGTAGTCAGACATCTCTTCACATGCTCCATGAATAGATCTCCCTCGGGCAAGCGCACGATGGATTGACGGTCCAAGGTATCAGACACTCATTGGCATCGAGTATGGTCAAAAGAAGCAGAAGGTTGGATTGAGTCAGTAGGTACATGAGCAAGTCCATCCCTCCATACATGAGAGCCACAGTCCCTCTCCGTCATCCTCTGTCTCCATCCTCCAACCCAGTCAGTGATTATGTGAGCGAAGTGGCAACTCCTTCCCCATCTCAGCCAGCAACTCAGCGACGATTTCGACAACTTCCTTGTTGTTGTGAAGGACTTCCGAGGCGATGGCCTCCAGCAGCGAACGGAGCTTTGGGCGGTGAATCAGAAGAGTCGTGATGGTGGACTTGGCACGTTGAAGGTACGTGTAGTGCGTACGTTGACGCTCAATCGCCCTGTCGAGGCGGCGTGTGTAGTGCTCTTCAACTGACATGCTGCGATTCTGCTCGTGGTCGTCACGGGCAAGATTCGCGAGGCGAGCCAGAGCGCGGTCAAGGTTATCCACCATGTTCCCCTGCCAGCCAGTATGTTCCCTCACACCGTGCTGCGAAAGTGGAATTGAGGATCTGCTGTTGCTGGCCCCAGCCCCATGAAGTGAGGCGGCAGGGCCGGGGCCAGCTGTGGCGAGGAAGGGATTTGCCCCACCCTGGGCTGCGACAGAGGAAAAGTCAGCAAGAAGCAGCGAAAGAAGGGCGAGGAAGACGGCGAATGGGATGGACTCACGGCGGTGGGTGGTGGATTCACCACCACGGCGGCGAAGTGTTGTATGGTGCTGAAAGGGGCACCCGCCCAGCAGATGATTTCTGAGCAGGTGCCCCTCTTTCCTTTTCTCGTTCCGCAAGGAGGATACTGGTGTAGCTGCGTGTCAGTATGGCTTGGACGGGGAGCTTCAGAGGAAGTCGACTCACAGTATGTAAAACTAAGAATGGTGGTAATGATGTCGTGGAGGAATGTGGTGATAACAATAGAGGAAAACTTTGCAGAGGCGAAGAAGTCGGAGCGCTTGGTGCGGGAGAAGTGGATTGGAGTGGAGTGAAGAAGAAAGGTTGTGATCTGGGCGACGGGCGAGCTTTTGAAGGGCGGCGAGCGTACCTACCCTCGGCAAGCAGGCAGCGAAGCGGTCACGTCATGCCCGCGTCGAGTGTCTCCGGCAGGAACGGCTTTCACTTCGGCAGCAGGAGGGGCGGGCTGTCCTGGGGCCCTCAGGCTGCGGCGGTCACAGCCCAGTGAATGCACTTATCAGGCTCCCAAGGCCTGCGACTGAGAATCTGGGAAATGGACCTCTGCAGCATTTCTGCTGGCGAAAGTGCATCAGTTGAATGCTCTGAGTGCCAGATTCGTCTGAGACGAAGAGCGCGTGAGATCCTCAGCAGCCGCTGTCAGGCCCCTGAACCTAAAGGCCACTAATCATGGCTGGGAGCATGCAAGTTTGTCGCCCCTCCTAAGACTGGGATTCTTGTGCGCGCCTTCTGTGGGTCTGACCACGGAAATCAACGCCGTGCAGCGACACTTGTGGGTTTCCTGAGGGTTCTCAATGCCTCACTCACGCGAGCTATTAGAAATTCTCCTTGCAATGCCACACCTTCCATGAGGAGCGCTGGCGCTGAGAAAACAAACGGAACAACGAGAGAAAGGTGGAAGTTCCGACCACTTCATTGCCAGGACACGAAAGACACTCCAGAAGGCCTATTGATCAGGCTGCGCGCTTCTTTGATGTTATTTCTCCCTGGTCTTCTGGATTGCGAGCTGCGACCCGCTCAAACCATGGCGATGGAACTACGCCCGACGGTGCTCAGCGCGGGCAGGCCGGTGACGCCGTTTCAGGCACAATCTGGGGCGCCTCGGAAGGATAGGGGAACCTGCACTGCCACCAAGCCTACCATCAACTCAGGACTCCCTAATTGTCCTCCCAGACGGTGCTTCCAACTCCAAAGCTTGGGACCGAGTGCGTCAAGCGCCTGTCAAAGCTGCCGGTCAATGCCATTCAAACCACGGATCGCTACCAGCGCGACACGCATCCGCCACACTCAATTTCCACCGCCCAGAATCGCCATGTTCTGCCAGCCTTGACTCGCTCTCAAGAGGTGTTCGAGCGTTGCGGGAGGCGTGAGCGTAGATTGCGAGAGTTTGGCTCAGGGGGTCAGCTGCGGGCGAGGCAGAACCGGCGGAGCGTCGGTGGGGCAAGGAAGAGGGCTATTGCTCCTGCTCGGCTTGGTCAGTCAGCGGGGCCGTGGATAGTAGGGTTAGCGGTTTCTGCAGCAATGAAGAGAGCTGGTGGTGCTGGTTGCTTGGGGCGGGCGTACTTTCTGAGCCCCCTTGATGTCTTCTCCAAGGTCGGCCCGGAAGCCGATGAAAAGGGTTGTGGGGCGAGTAAGTTGTCGGTGGGCATGACTGAAGCTGTGGTGGAGAGCCTAGTCTGCGTAGCGGCTGTGGAGCTTAGGGACTCGCGCGGCCACCCGCTCGCCATGCACCCTGAAGTTATCCGGCCGACGCTTCATCGCCACAACCGTGGCCTTTGCGCATTGCTGTTGGAATGCTGTTCCACGGAAGATCAAGACGCTTCAGGGGGCGGAAGAAGGCTTCTATCTTCTCGGGCAGTTCATTCCATGGCATGAGCTCCGTGTCCTGCGCAATCACCGCTGAGAGCTCAGAAGTTCTGCCAGTGATCGCACAGTGCAGCAAAAAGACTTGTCCTCAAGCTTGACCACAAGACAGCCCAGCATCGCCAGCTACTGCCTTCTCATTTCCGCACCCAATGTGACCGCGTGGCCGCTCCGACAAGCTTAGCGGCACGAGGACGGCCCCCGGTCTGCTGCCGCTAGGTCTGTGCGCAGGCGCGCCTGCTTCATCTTTCCTCGCCCGCCCTCATTTTTCTTCCTCTCCTCAACAACCCTCCCACTCACTTCAAGACTGAAACCCGCGCCTTTGGCCTCCAGCGGAGCCCAGCTTCGCACAAGCCTGTATGCTACTCGCTCCCTCTTGTTGATGCATGACTGACATGATTCAGCTCGCTTCGTTTCCTTTATTCGTCCTCTGTGCCACAGTCGCTGGCGCCGCTCACAGTGGGTAAGTGTCGCAACGTGTCTTTAGCTCTGCTCTGGAAGATCTTGCAACTAACTTTGCTTGCAGTTTCTCCCAAGATCCACCACTGTGGACGGCCGTCGCGCCTCATCCCGCCAATGGTACGGATGCCGTTCAAGATGCCAACTTTTGGTGACGCGCTGACACTATTGACAGTCCTGCTCGCTGCCTCCGCGGCAAACTTATGTTGCTCTCGGGCCGGGCCCGGTTTCGACAAGCCTTCTGGAGGCTACTACAAACGTGACAGCCTCCACTGAAACCGGGCTCGGCCTGAGAAACTAGCCAGGCAAATAAACCCACCTCAAATGGTGGTTACTCACATTCGGCACAATTGTGAGTGTTTCTTTGCACATCTTGATGTCATGATTACTGAAGCTGACATGTGTTTAGTCTGGCTGCTGCCCGTGTGGCAGCAAGCCATTGCCGGCCGGCTGCTGGCCAAAGCCATGCCGCAGCCGGCCCGGCAGCAGAAGAAGATGGCGCCCAAGGCGCACCTCGCCCGCTTCACACATCAAGGGGCTGCTGGCCCGATTTACTCATCAAGCGGCTGCCGGCCCTTTGCAAAGATCTGGTGGCCGCCGGGGCCCAACAAAACTCTGGTGGCCGCCGGGGGCACACCAACAAAGGGCTGGCGGCCCGCTTACTCATTAAGGGCTGGCAGCCCCTTTCCATATCACTGAAAAGGAGTCTCCCCCTCTTGGCGAGAGGTAATTTTACCCTATTTAGCAAGTTTCTTGCGACTTGTGAATCCTTTACTCGCGAGGACTGTCATGCTGACGTTCGCTACAGACGGCTCCGCTCCTCCCCGCTCCCACTGTCTGTCGGGGCCTGACTTGGGCATGAAAAAGAAAGCACCAAGCTGGGCCCCAGCCACGGTTGTCCCTGAGAGCACAATCGAAGTCTTCGTCACCGCGACGGAGTTCGTTACCGTTCCCGAGTCTGAGTCCACGATGACCTCGACCATCTGGGTCACCAAGACTGAAGAGCCGACGACAACTCTCATGTCTACAAGCTTCATGACCGTGGCTTCCGACACTTTGACCAGTCGTAATGATTCTTCTGAGATGGGTTTTTCGGCTGCTTCAACAATCACTTTGTCAGTTTATTTGGGCCTGTATTTGTTTTCATTCGATGGCAATGCTTGTTACTAGCAGTGGAAGGTTGAGGAAGCAGAAGGATAATAAAAGAATTGAGGGCAATCTGAGAAGAGATACTCAGGTGAATGATGGAAATTTGCTGGGCATTGTTATCTTCACTACTGTCTTCTATTTTAATAGCGAGAGCAAAGGACGAGTTTTTTAGCAGTATGTCCACAGCGGCTGGTGAAGGACTTGGCTGAACATTTCACGATATAGTCAGCATCGGTCATTCACAATGAACCATAAATCGCACTCGAATATTCATTTGCTGTGTGAGCCATCCACGCGCGAGTCGCGCGTTGCGACGTTCTGCGTACAACGTAGGCGCTGAAGAAATGGTTCATGACTAAAGCTTTCGACTTCCCGCCATTCCGTTCAGCACATGTCTTGAGTGTACAAAGTTGAGGGACTCTTGTTGTTGCTGTCCACGCATGGTGCGTCATGTCAGGCACTTCCCGCGACCAGATCACCTTGGGCGTTGGGGCGTTGATGGTGCTGACGGAACCGGGCTAGAGCCAGAGCTCTCAGCTGCAGCGGCCTCAGCAGAAGCAGTAGCAAAGCCAGCAGGGCCAGGTCTAGCAGCCTCATACTTAGGCGAACCAGGGGTAGCCTGAGTAGCTTCAGCATTAGCCGTAGTAGTACTATTGGTAGAATCCTTCTCGAGACTCTCACTGGCCTTGGGCACACACACCGATGCCACCGTCTGCGGAGATGGTAGAAGCGTTGGCGGAGGAGACGTCGTCGGGAACGAAGCGGGGAGCGCGGATGGCGCCCGTACGAGGATCAGCCGTGGCAATATGAACGAAGGCGGTGCGGGCGCGTTTGATGTTCAGCTCGCGGTCGTCGGGGGTGGTGATGTAGTGCTCGGAGCCGCCGTCGTGGCCGTGGTGGTGGTCGTGGGAGCAGGAGCAGACGGAGCCGGAGATGGCGGTTGTAGACGCGTTGGAGGTACCTCCGCCATCGGCATGGCTGTGGACGGCGGATCCTCCGTGGAGACCGCTCTCGAGGTCTCGGATGACAACAACGGTGCGCTGGCGACGAGGACGGCTGCCACGGTTGCGGCTGGGGTCATGCGGAAGACGGGGACCGAAGAAGACGTAGCGACGACGGCCGCGAGGAACACGCATGAAAGCGCCGCCAGCAGGGTGGATAGTAAGACGGGTAGGACGGAAAACAAGCCACTTGATGCCGAAAAAGGCGACCACCGGGATGATGACCGCCAGCAGGATGAACATGGCTACTTCGACGTTGGGCCTGACGGCGCCTGAGATGGCCGTCTTCGCGGCAGTGTTTTTAGCAAATGGACCGGTCCGCAGAGGGCTGGGTATATCTCTGATTTCTGTCTGGAATGCCTTCCTCTGAGGCGCACTTTTCCTTGACTTCAGGCGTAATCCGTTGCCTCGCCTAGACTGACACCACAATGGGAGGGGAGAGTGTCCGACCCGCCTTGCTCTGGGTCGCTATAACAGAGCCAGCATGGGCCCGCAAGCGCCTTCTTCGTCTTGTTGTGTCCAGAGAAGATGCCGATTATGTTTTGGGCATCAACTTCACCTGTGAGGATCCAGTGGGTACAGAGCCTTTCTGACGTGATGGCGACCGGTTCGTCAGGGTTGTACTTGGTAGTGACGCTGTCGGGCTTGAGGTGAGGCTCGATGCAGTCGGTCACCGTGCCGCGACGGTTGAGACCCATCATGACTTCTCGCGAGCTGATGATGAGCGCGCACCCGCGCGGAGGGTGTAAGATATGTAGGATACGCAAGAGGAGTCCTGTGCTAGGACGAGATGGACTGGAGGTATGCGGATCTAGAGCTGTCAGCCAAGGCTTCTTTGACAGCGAGTGTCGGCACACCCACTGGAAGACACTTCCGAGATCTTTGACTTTTGGGTAGAGCAGGTGAGGCATCCTTGCATTTTGGCTGCTGCGCCCACATCCCAGAGGGCGTGCGGTAGGGAGCTGCGCCGAGGTCCAGAAGGGTTCGCCAGTGCGTACGATGCCGAGTGGAGAGCAAGTCAGTCCTGAGTTGCGCGTGGATGCTGGCGGCGCAATGGACGAGCGCTGTGGGGTTTGGTCCGCGAAGAGGAGCGCAGCGGCTGATGTGGAGGTCCCTAGTCTGTGCTGGAAGCGTGTAGTGAGGGCGAGGCGGCGAGCCCGATCGGCTCCGGTCAGGCGCAGATACCGTAGCATTTTAGCGAGCACGTCCACCAGTCAGGCCGGCGTTGACCTTGGCTGAAGGCATGAAAGGGGCCAGCTTTAGGAGCTTGTGGTCAACGGCTAGGGCGAGCAGGTCACCCTTCCGCCTGCGCGAGGTGGCGAGGATTGCCGCTGTCTTTCTTGCTCATGGCCTTTGTCGTCGCAAGCCGCTCCACAGGCATGCTGTCGTGCGCCCTCCCACCGATGATCTGCGCCAGCTCCCGACGCGAACTTCCCACGATCGACAGAAGTCTCAACAGGACTCTCTGTCTAGATCCGCCGTCAGAGCATAGATTCAATGTCGAAGGCGCCTCGACACTCGTCACTGAAAGAAAGCGAAGCCAGTGGCAAGTACAGAGCTTTTCCGTGGAATCTGAAAAGCGCACAACTTTCCACGGAGAACATGAACCAACGATAATTTCACTCAGAAGGCACAACGACGGAAAGGCACTTCAGACATGTCTGAGGCTGCCAGCTTTGTAGGGGACATTGATTTAGTCCAAAGAGGATAGCCGTCACTGATCAGGCGGTAACCATCCTTAGTTATTGACCCATGTGCCCGTCAATCTTGGCCTGTTTATCACACAAAAGCTACGATCAGGGCGTTTCGTGCTAGAAACTCAGGCTCGTTGCTCAATGCTGGGCGAAGAGATCGAGGGAAGTTATAAAGGCGAGAGAATGGCAAGAAGAGGTCTGTGCGTGCAAGCAACCAAGCAGGCAGGAGCGACGGGCGGCACCTTTCTTTCACGTTCCACACGAATCCAGCAGGGTAGCCCAGAGGTACGCCAGCCGGACATCCATAGCCTAAGAAGCCGGAAGGAAAGATGAGGAATATGAGCCTGCCCATCCAGGGCTAAGCTCCTGGGCTAGAGGGGAAGGGCCCTCGGCCTCTGAGAAGGGGCTTCGCGCTGTGATGTGGCAGGGCCAGGGAGGCGTTTTGAAAGATTTGTCTGGGGGTTGGATCTCTGGGCCACCGGCTTAATGCCCAGCGCGCGTTGATGCGCTTCTGTCACGAATTTATGACGCTAGGCTGGCTGCTCCGCCATGGCGGCCATGGAATTTTGTCTTGCTCCAGGAGCTGTGTGCGTGCGTGACACTGAGCTGCTGCGCGGCTTCCGCTGAGCTGAAGTTCTCTTTCTGCGCCGCTGCCGGCGCGGGCGTTTGCTGCGCCAAGAACTGGTTGCAGGCCTGCGAGCGTTTGTCACTTCTACATCAACCCCGCCACGCCTCCCGTCTGCGCACCACCTCACCACCTTCGCCCCAACATCTTCTTTTTGCTATGCGTCCATCTTCACGCACTGTTATCCTCTGCTTCTTCGCTGTCGCCCTTTCGAACACTTTTCGATCCCGCATTACGCATGAGGCAAACTTGTGGCTTCAACTCTTCCTCGACATCTTGCGAATGTCGGCCAACGGCCGCGACAAGCCACTGCATCGTGATGGCAACGATCACGCTCAGGGCTTATATGCTCTGGAGCTCCGCTCCAGCAAGTCAATTGTAAGCCTAGTCCACTATCTTAGACAACGATAAGTCACTGACGCTTCAGAAGCGGAATATCTTGAGCCAGAATGACTTCAACCCCGAGGAGGAGGACCAGATCCGCCGTGAGGATCTGGGTTCCTCTGTTGGCGAATCGCTTACCGTCCGCTTCGATGCCGCTAAGGAGTATGACCTCACCGCTGGTGGCAACTTCACAGCAGTTGCACTTGGCTTCATTCCCTACGCGGAGAGTTACTCAACGTTCCTCAACGGCAGCACCATAGCCTACCACAGCAACGACGTCACTGCTATCGATGTCAAGGACAGCTGCGAGGGAGATCTCCTCGCCCAAGTTGCAGCTGCTAGTTTCTTATATTGGTCGCTTCGTGCGACTAATGCGATGCCGATGGCATCATCCATGGCGTCCCAAGACTGCATCAGCAAGCTCCCGAACGAGTTGCTGCTACTCATCCTAGAGAAGTTCGCCAACAAGGAAGATCTCAAGTAGCATGTTCATGCGCAAGCACAAGGACGCAGGAGATCACGAAGCGACCAAGCTCCCTGGCTTGCCGCGCTCACCATCGCCCGAGGCACACTTTGACCCGAAAAGCTTTGACGAGTACTTTTCTCAGATCCAAGCTTTCGTTAGAGAGGCCAATTCCAAGACCGACGCCCTTCAGTCACATCCGAGTGGTGTCTGCTTTCGGCTTTCCGTGGTTGTGGTTTGCCAACGTTGGATTACGTCAAATCGATACTGGCAAACGCTTGATCGGCTCTTTTTTTTCTTTTGTTTTGAGTTGGACGGCTCTTAGATAGAATGTCAAACTTTTTAAATTTCCGTGCTTGCTAAAGGGTTTGTTCTATGAGGCTTGTCTTATGCTGTTCTCATCAGTCTCATGTGGCAGAACGACAGGTCGATGAAGAGGTACAGGTTGACTCAAACCAAAAATCGGTCTCATCTGTCAAACTCACAAATTTCAAACGTTTGCAAACAGTTCGGGACGTGTCACGAATGTTCTTTTTTTCTGAGAGTTTTCTCTATTTTCAAGCAGGAAGCATGCATTCACAGCTGTTCCATTAGCCACAAATTCTGGACGCATAGGCGGGCATGGATGCGAAAGTGTGGAATTTGATTGGAACGCGCGAATAAAGCTGGTAGACGGCTGACACTGTATCCTTGGAACTCTTTGAGAGAACGTTGACGACACACAGCAAACTCGCCAAGCTGCGACCAAACATTCCCAAAGCGTTGATTCCACGTCGCACAAGTCGCAGCCGCTGGGAGTCTCGAACATCCACTGAGCATATATCGTCCACTTATGTTTTCGGCGCGCCTCTTCGGTGAGGATGCCATCTTGTAATTTTCCTTGCGAAATGGGCGGCGGCTGAAAGGCAACGGGGAGCAGCGAAGAAGGACGTGCAGAAAAGCAACACAAGGCGGCTCCTGAATTCTGTGGATATAATCAGAGATTGTTTCGCGATTTCATACTTCTCCTGGTTCCCTGTGTCTCTCACGCATGTTGGCTGAGGGCAAGATGATAAGTGGAAAAGGCGGTACTCACAGCGCAGATGTCGCACAAAGCGCAGACATGCCAAGACGCTGGCCCTCTTGCCCTAGGACCGTCTGTATGTGAATGGAGCGACTGGTTTCGCGCAGAAGTTTGCTGGACTGGAAGTATGTTGTCGGGAGAGGAGAGTCGCGGCATAATGACGCGCTGTGGTAATCGAGAACGAGCACTCTAGGCTTCCGGGGGCGCAGCTAGCGGCGATCGTCGCTCAGGATATATTCTGGGGGTGAGAGGGTGCATAATGTGGCTGGTGGACTGCTGGGCTTGTTGCGCATCAACGATATTCGGTGCGTCAGTAATGCCTGGCATCATAGCCTTCATGCTGCAAAGGAACTCACTGTGGTCGGCCGTCACTATTTCGCTAGGCACTCGACTATGCCGTTGAGAGCGACTTCTGCGATGCTTCAGTGTCGAAGGTCCTGCATGGTGAGGATCTGGTGGAGGTGCTGCGGGAAGTTCTGTTTGCGGGCCCGCCTGCCTGCCTGCGCTGCAAAGGCCCGCCGCGCATCGCCTCGGCCAGGCCACCCAACGAATAGGCGCAGCGTCATCTGTAAACAACCAAAATCACCCAGCGGCTGTGATGCCGCACTGGCAGATCTGCACATAAAGGCCAGGGCTTTCAGAGCCTGTGAATGCTATTGCAACTCGGAATACGGACGGCTTAGGCTCTGAGGCTGAGCAGTATTGGAGCTGTTCGACAACACTTGCTCAAGAACGATTTCCACTCTCTGCTGGTGGCGGACCTCAGGTCATCAAGACCCGTGAATGTTACGCGGCATTGATGCCGAGGCAGTCATTCGCTCTCCTGTGCTGCTCTGGCTGGCGGGTTGTGCTAGCTTTGCAACAATCTCACCACGCGACGCAGTCGAAGGGACGAGAGCCCCTACTCACTGCGGGGACACATCATACCTGCAAGGCTGCTCATCTATGGCTTTCATGCCATGGGTAGTTGAAGCTATCGTCGAGACGTATATGTAGAATTTTTAATTGGACATTCTCGTCCCGACGATAGCTTCAAATACCCATATAACATGCATCATAGGCATATATCTGCATGGAAGACTGAGTGACTTGGACTTGTGACGCAATGTTTGGCTTCATTCTCCTCCGCTATGGTTTCTTGCCTCATACTTTATGTCTGTGATATGAAAGAAAACTTCAGATTCTCGCTTTTTCCCGACACTCCCATCAAATCCCCTTGGGTTACCACCGCTGGCAAGACCCCGCAGTTTGTTGGTCGTGTAGCTGGTTATCAAGGCGATTGCCAGTGATGCCAGTGAAAAATCGAGTTCTCGAGCTTCGGCTCATCTTTTTCCTTGGTTCTTCCAGCAGCAGAATTCGCTACGAAGCTCAACGTTGTGTCCGGAGCATGCATCGTATCTGGAAGCGGTTCGTCTAGAGTGGTAGCGCCATCGCCATTGGCTTGTGAGCTGACGGTTTGCTTATCGCGTGCGTCCGAGGAAGGGTTCGCTGTGCGGGACATGGATTTAGACTTCGTTGCAGATGCGTTCCGGTGGGCCGAAGTTCCTTGAGCTCGCATGGACCTCTCCCTTGAAGCCTTTCGGTCAGCAATAGTAGGTCCTGCAAGACGTGCTCAAACTCACCGGAAGCATGCCGGAGCTCGAAAAAGCCTTCGACTCCACCACGTTGGGCATGCACCGCGTCAAGCTCAGCCCCTGGAGGCCGAATGTGGGGGTTGGTCAGGCATAAGAACCGGGGTGTCCTTTTTTTGTTTTTGTTCATGTCATGGGCAGTTGAAGCTATCGTCCGGATGTGGATGTCGAATTTTTGTCGCCCGGCGGCGATACGGACTCCAGCAGTTTGAGGGACCTAAGCTTGGCGAAATCTGCCATTGCGTCGGATCGTACACCCATGTGGACATTGCTGTCAAGGAAGCGAGCTTGCAAGGTCGACAGGGGAGGACATCGGTTAGGCTGGTCCTGATAGTGGCTGATCTTCCAGTCAGCAGTGGTCGCGAAATAAGCTCACTTCCGGCGGAGGTTGGAATGACAAAGGAGCAAAGACTTGTTGTCACTTACGCAACCCGCCTGGCCAAGCACTATTTTGTTCTTGAGGATCTTGTTTGCGGATGTGGCGACCCCTGCCTCCACAGGCGATGAGAGGCAGACGCTGTCGGAGCTTCCAGCCACCAGGGCGAAAGGAGAGGAAGGTAAAGTTGTTGAAGTTGCGAAGATGTGAGCGGGAGGAAAAGCAGAGAAGCAAGCCGCTGTGGGCGACCAACCTGCGACGCTAAGCTCGTTGTGGACGCGAGCAGGCAGAAGACGCGTCGAAGAGTGAGATCACCTCCCCACAGCTGGACGCCGGCGATGGCGCGCAGGGCCATGTGAGCTAGCCAGATGGGCTTAAAATCAGCTGCCGTTGCTTGCCTTTGATGCTCTGTGCTGAAGCGGGAGGACTCAATTGCCAACCGTCGTCGCAACGTCACTTCGTCGTCTCTGGGTGCCGGCGCACGCGACGGCTGCTCAAATTACTCTCTCGTGGACTTGCTTCTGTCAGAATCTACTTGCCCCTCGACGAGCGGCAGCGGTACTCCGACTATCACGAATCAGGCGCGAGGGCCTCTGGCGCGCTGCCAGGCACAACCGCCCCGATCCCGCAGTGACATCCTTCCATATGGCGCCACAGTGCACGCGTGCTGGAAAAGCCCGCCGCCCGCATGAACCAACTGCCTCACCTGGTTTCCAGGTCTTTCTATCGTCTCCAATCATTGGCACATGGGCTCCCGTGCGGCCATCCACGAGCTCGCTCAGGCTGTTCGCGCCTGCTGAGTGTGGGCATGCACTGTCCAATCCAGACGTTGCCTGCCCCGCCATCGCCCTGGTGACGAACTCCCGCCTTGTGATCGGTCTCGCTTAGCGCCGCCCGCCAATGCTTAAATACGCGGCGACTCCTCGCCCAAGGCTCCTCTTTTCTTCTTCAGCTCTCTTTGCCTTTTGGCTTAGAT